TTATCTTTTTGTGGTGACTGACAATAAACACAGAGACATAATGATAAGTTACAGACTCTAAGAAACCTGTCTGGCTGCAGAGCAAGAGTTCTTCCAGCTATAGCAGTATTTAAAAAAGAAAACCAAGCTTCCCTTTAAATAAGCTTTGAAAACTCTAATCACACATAGACATCTTCAATTTGATGGCAAAGCAAATGAAAGCGGATTATGTTGAGAACGGAGCGTGGTGTCTGTGATTTAAAATTGTAATAAGCCAAATTATATATTTTTTTTTATGCTGAAAGGATCTTAAGAGGAGAAAAGAGACTGAGAAAAAGACTAAGGGAGAAAAGGTTAACCGAACACCCGCAATTATCTAAAATACCAATAATTATTCTCCAAGAACCATCTGTTCCTTGCTGACACGCTCACACACTCACTGTCTTGACCTTGTTAATTTAAAAGCCCTATGGCAACACTTTGTTCACAAAATGTAAAATTCACTTTGCACAATCCCCATTTAAGAGGTTCCATAATAGCATCAGTTGAGCCAGTGCGTGTATATCCATACACTTGTGTCACAGAGGTTTATACAATCTTAACAGTTAAACTGAGTACGTTTTGCGTCATATCTTTTGTTTATCCTGTTCATCTTTCCCCATGCAGCACCCTATTTTCTCTCCCATTGTTGTCTTTTACTGGAAAGTGTCTAAGGTGCTGTCACCCCTCTACAAGTGAGAAAATCAGGAGACATATGGATGATGTACTTTTTACAAACTGTTCTAAGGAGTCATGACAAGTGCAGTCATGAAAAGAAACAGATGCTAAAATGATATTGTCGCTGCCTGGAAGCATCGTGATCTGGTGAGTTACAATATCCACAAAGAAAGGCAATTACCATTAGCTTTTTTCCTATCTCTCTCTCTCCTCATTTGAACTGTGACTGTTCCATTTCAAAAGCCTCATAAGTCTTTCTGATAGTAACCACATTTAGTTTCACATTTATGTCAATTATAGCAGATGTTGGAAACCTCTGCATAAGAGTACCAATACATATACAGTGGGAAAAAAAGTATTTAGTCAGCCACCAATTGTGCAAGTTCTCCCACTTAAAAAGATGAGAGGCCTGTAATTTTCATCCTAGCTATACCTCAACTATGTGTGTNCGGACACTAGTTCTACCAACGCTCATTAGAGGTAAGAGTGGTAGGAGAGGAGTGGAGTTATCTTTGTATTTAGGCTGCAAGTCGACAAAGGTGATCAAGTGCTGATGCTAATAATGATCCGATTCATTTGATATGGATTGTCTACCAATACCGAATCCTGATCCGATTCTTCTATTTCCCAGATAATACAGCTGCACCGTGTACACTAGCTCTATTTGTTTTTGCCACTGTAATTCACCATAAGCAATTGTTGACTGTCTATGCCAACCAACTGTCATTTGTAATGTATTTTACCATACTTTAACGGTCAAGTTCTGGCAACCACAGCAGCCCAAATGTTAACGTAAATCAAATGTCAAGTTTTCTTTTTACAGTGTACTTATATCTGTACATTTCTTTTCAGTTTGCTTCAAGAAGTGGCTTCAACAGACAGAAATGCAGACCAGATTGGAAAAGGCTGGACGCTACACAACGGGAAACATTATGGACATGAACAAGGAAAAACAAAAAACACTTTTTCTTATCATACATAGTGTTAATGTTTTTGTTACCATTTAAATATTGAATTGTATTTATTACTTGTATTTTAAATCAAATGCACCTGTTTTAGATCATATATTTATTTTTGATCTAAAACAGGTTGATTTGCAGGTTGGTTGTTATTTGTATAATTATTGTATTGTTACTGTGTATTTTATTATATTAACTAGCTATTTATTAAATTAAAAAGACTGTTATGAACACTATACAATGTCTTTATTTTTGGTAGATACCAGAATACATGACAATGAATCTTTATAATGTATTTATGTTCTCTGGTTTAAATAATCATACCAGTATTTAAACAATGTATGCTGGTCACCTGGAATCCTGGTAAGCTTCCAGCATGGTATATTTAATACTATTATTAAACATAATAGATGGATGCTGCTGGTGACCAGCCCAGCATAGACCAGCATACTATGCCAGGATGGCTGGTTTAGCTGGTTTAGCTGGTGCACCAGCTAAACCAGCTAAACCAGCCATCCAGTATCCCTCTAAACCAGTCAACCATTCCAGCCTAATATCGTCAGGCTGGTCAAGCTGGTTTTTTCAGAAGGGTTAACTCTTATCTGTCCTATCCTGTGTTTCACTTTATTATTGCTTAATAATTCAGCTTAAAGGTGTATCTTATCTTACTTATATTGACTTGTTTTATGGTATCTTATTTCTTTTGTTCACCAGAGATGTGCACATAAGTGTTATGGAAGTATGTCATTCAGTAAAAAAAAGTTAGTCGACTGATAGCAAAACTACCAATTAGTCGACTATTCAGAGGTCAGCTCTATTAATGTCACTTTTGGAATTAAATGCTATTGTATGTTGTAATGAGTGAGCATAAACTTTTTTTTCAAACTTTGACTCACCTTCTCAGAGTTGATGCTCAGCTTTTTCTCGACGTGCATGTGGATTTCCCCGTTTCTCTCCGGGACTGGCGTGGACTCCCTGGGTGTCCCCTCTCGGTCCTCTTCCTCGTCTTCTTCACCCTCCTTTGCATGCCTCTCATCCCCGTTTACTGTCCCGTCCACCTCCACTGCCTCAACCACCACCACCACCTCCTCTTCCTCCTCCTCTTCTTCTTCCTCCTCGTCGAAGGGTAAGGGCACCCCGTCAGTGACATACTCCTTCAGGCACTTCATGTTGTGTTTCTTCAGCAGCTGCTCCGTGTCCGGGTCCACCACCACCAGCTCCAGCCGACCCGCGGTGACTCGAATCCGGGACACGACCTGCTGGTGGCTCTCGTGCTCCACGTCGTCCCCGTTCACGAACACGAGCCTATCTCCCGCGCGGAGCCCCGAGGTCTCAGCCGGGCTGTCAGGCTCCACTAACCGGATAAACTGCCCCGTCTTACCTTTCTCTCCGTGGAGGTGGAAACCGTACCCGGTGTCCGCCTTGTCCAGCGTGCACAACCGGGGGCGTAAAGACTGGCTTTTGCTCGGCATGGTGGTGGTAAGGCTTCTCTTGCCTTCACTGTGTTTTTAAAGTGGAGTTAAAGCTCAGGATACTGCTTAGGAAGGGTGTGCGTAGAGATGCACCCAACCCCCGCCCTCTTGGGGAGATTACTCCGTGGGAAACGGTGCTGGTGTTTGTTCCAGCTTCACACACGAGTTTAAGTCTGGATGTGTGTGTCCTCTCACTTGTGTAAATCTGCACTGTGACTCGGTGCTCTCACGCGAATTGGAGGTCCTGACCTGAGGACTGAGCTGAGACTGGTTAAACTCACACAGCTCCCCTCTCTGTGAGCGACTAAAGTAGAAAAGCCACTCAGGAAGAGGGAGGTGCTTTCACGGAACTGCCCAGCTGGCTGCCTCATGCAAAGTAGTGACTCTAGGAGTAGTAAACACAAAACCAGGCTGTCCAGGAACATGCTGAAAGATACAGTAATGATGTTCAGAGGGGATAGAGCTTGGATTAAAGCAAAACAAAATAAAAAAAACGTATTCATTCATTCCCACTATTTGTTTCATACGTTTAATATTCAGTATTTTTCTTTTGGTTCTTAGAAATTGCATTTGTAGTTCCCCCCTCACCTTTTGCCTTCTTTCCCCTTTATGAAAAACACGTGTTGCACATTTTGTCATACTGTAGATTACATATTTTTATTCAATGTTGTCCCTAATAATAAACCATTATTCATCTCTAAATGTCAGTTTAGCTATATCATTTGTCCGGAGAGGAATACATTACAGTGTGTTTGACTTTGATGTTCCACAGTAATTTTATTGTGACATTATCAAACTTTAAAACATTATATTCTTGTATAATTTCAACTAAGAATAAGTTCTCCCTGTGGTGTATAGTCTGTCATAAAAGAATAATTGATTTCAGGAATGTTAACCGTGTAAAGTCAAATTGTGTTTATTCATTTATTCCCATTCTTTTAATCTTTCTTTCTCTTATATCATTTTTATAATTGAATTGTAGTTTCCCTCATCACTTTGCCCTCTTTCCTCACTGTGACCGGCACGTGCTGCATATTTTGTCACATTGTTCAAATATAATCTTATTTCTGGCATCTTCAACATTTTCCAAGCCAAATAACACTTTCACACTTTCTGTGTATCTCCTAGTGTTTTCATTTAGCTGTGTCAATTATCTGAAGCATTAGTTTATTATCTGCCATTCCTTCTGGTAAAAGCACTAAATTGCAGCAATAATAGGAGAAATTCCTACCTAGGAGTAATAAAGCTTAAATCTATCTCACAATCTTGGTTTAACAGCATCATTGAGCCAGACTGGCATCAATTACAGTGGTCTGTCTTTGATATTCAACAGTGATTATTTAGTTGTCACCTTATCACATTTAAAACATTTGATAATGTCCCCCTGTGGAGTTTAGTCTCCAATTAAATATGTAGAGTCACTGTTAATATAGATATGCCTGAAATAACATGTACACTCTGATATGCCAGATTAGATTAAATTGCAATGATCAACATTCACACTTTAGTCATTCTGGTAACCCTTACGAGAGATTAATTCAACAATAATGATCAGCATCCTTTCAAACTCCAGTGTTTTGAAGCAACCCAGAACCCTCTTTACATTTAGATATCAGAGTGGTTCACCTTTAAACATAGAGCAGTCAAAAAACAGCTCAAATAAAACCTGGGAGGATTCGACTGTTCATCTTGCTTCTGGTCCTGATAAGAGGACAGAGACAGGACACTCTACCTGGGAATATACATCTCCCTCACCGTAAGCACTAATGAATACAGCAGGTTGCTATTAGTTTAGTTGATGGGAAGTGATTTAGGTAATTATGTTTTCTTCACGGATAGAAAGTCTCCTTAATGTGTGTGACTCATGGATGCGAGTGGGTGAGCTGCATTCAGGTGTGCGTGCAGCCCAGTGCAGGGAATTGAAAATGTCCTCCAAGTATATCATAATAACTTTACCTAACACATTAAAACAACCACAGCACTTACAAAACATCACTATACAGATTTTCAGCATCCTTTCAAAAACAGTAGATCTCTATATTGGAATAAAATAGACAGCACAACCCTGAATCTACAGGTTGTCTAATTGATAAAACAATCTCTAGAGCAACATGTTAGAATATACACAGGGTAGCTGCTGCCACACGGTGGCTCATTAACCTCAACACACCCTGTCACTCCCAACCCTCCAAAACCCCAACATACACACACAAAACACACAGATGAGACTGACTTCAATAAAAAACACCAAATACATTACAAAATATACTTTTTTTTATATATCTAATATGATAACAAAGCACTTTTTCATGGCACTTTGTGATCACTGTGACGCCTCAGAAGAGGGACGAATGTGACAGCCAGCTAAATTCCACAAGCAAACATTCATAATGAACATTGTACAAAGAAACAAGTTACAAAATGTGGAGCGTGAACAAATACAGCTTGGGTACAGTCGACACAACAACATCCATCCTTAGAGGAGACACATCAATGTTCTGGGAGTTCTGCGAGCACGTCCGTGTTTTGCGGATGGTTAAAATGTAAATAGCATGCAAAGGTATCTCTAACCAAAAGATGAGAAAGTAATGATAATGATCTCTTTGTATGAAGCCTGGTGTGACAGTGGGTTGCTCAACCAGCACATTTACATGAACAGTACTTTAAATTAAGTGTCACTGGCCCTGAATTGAATGTACAGACAAACACACAGCAAAAAGTGGCTTTATTCCACCTAACAGCAATACAGATGTGAACAGACAGGATCATTTGAGCTACAATCTGACTGTGAGACTGACGTCCACTTCTCAAACACACTGATTTATCAAAGGGTAAGACTGTAAGGCCAAAAGGGGTTCAGTTCACAGCCTGGTAAAACAGGGATGGAAACAAACTAAGAGCTGCAGGGCAAAATGCGATATCTACACCAACAGTCGTATTGAACTTCCATTAATCATGAGTCAGGCTCTTCAGACTGCAGGATGAAAAATGTGGCACTTGTGAGAATTTGATCGAACTCCGTTTTTCAGTGTCTGCTGCTAGAACAAATAAAACTCAAAAAGTTAACAGACGCCTCGCAGGCTTATTCTCTGCTGTGCGGCAGGGGTGAAGTATTTTTGTAGGTAGCTGGCAAACAAACGTTTTTTTTTTTGTTCAGCAAGGTAATGTTCACAAAGAACATTAGCTGTTATGATTTTTGAAACATAAATGCAATTTCAAGCAGTGAAAAGCAACCACGGTTCCATGATCTCAACATCAGAAATCCTTATCTGCATTACAAAAGCTTTTCCTTTCAGCGTGATTCATTGATGAATCTACGAGTTGTAAAAGTTAAGTAGGAATAACTAGCACAAAAAAAACGTATTGCAAAAACGCTAACACATTTGATGGGTTTCGGACTTATTCCTGCAGCACACTTGGTTGACTCGCATCTTGACCCCAGCCAGTTGCAATATAATTTGCAAGAGCCAAGAAACGCTAGGATCTATTTCCATTATATGGCAGTAAACACAACACCTAGGCCTGCCGAAAACCATGCTGCATTTAGAGCACAGTGTGTTCATGTTTGAAAATGTTGCACTGAAACTCAATGTCCAAACATCAATCACAAGAGTGCCATAGTTTCCATCCAAAACGACAAATGATGTGTTTGCAGCTATTTAGAATAGAAAGATAATTATGTTTTTTCCGTGTCCCTGGAGATATTGTATTTCTGATTGCAACTCCTGACTTGTAATTTGATACAACTGTCACTACAAAGACCACACACATTTCTACAAATGACATACAAAGAGTTTCAAATTCACATTTCAGATAAGGGATGGCTGCCAATCCAGATTCACTTTCCATTGGAGCTTAAAGCCCGGTGGTGGAGACGAGGTCGTCCGCTTCTCGGGTTTGGTGCTGGGATTGGCTTTTATGTAAGAGAGCAGACTTTATTTTTATTTTTACCTCGATCCAACTCCTTCCCTTCCTCCCCCTCCTTCTCTCTCTGCGTGTCTCTGCCTGGAGATCAGTGTCAGCTACATGTGGCCACAGCAGCTCGACTTGTGCTTCTGAGCCTCGATGTAGTCGTGTATCTGGAACTTGGGCTCATTCTGCTGCTGGGTGGCTCTGTGCTTCAGCTCCCTGATGAAGAGAGACGCAGGAAGTTAGATACAGAGGAGGTGGATGTGTGGGATGGAGCACACAGGGTGAGCAAATCAAGAAAATGAGAAAGGAAGAGAAATAAAAAAAAAAAAGCACAAGCGAGGAAGAGAAACTCATATCTGTACTGAGATTTAATCAAAATGCCTTTGGCAAGAACCATTTAATCAAACTTGCACTTAAAATACACACAACGATTGCAAATCACCCACTTTGCTGTATTTCACAGCTCTGGGGACATGCTGTGCAATCAGTTGTTTTTTGTGACAAAAACAATGATTCTTTCTGCCTTTCAATAGGAAAGGTGTGTGCACACGGAAGTCAGTCAAAAGCAGAAATTGCACAGCTGATGTTTAAAATCCACAGGGAGCCTCAAACATGCACAATCACGGTTTAACAACAACAGGAAGAAACAAGATATTAGCTAAAGAATCATTAGAGGAAAGTAGTTGCATGAATCAGAGAGAAGTCTGTCAGCATCGAAGAGAAACATCAAAATGATCAGGGAAGGAGATTAGCGTAACCCAAGTATGCAACATACATAATAATGCATGTGTTTATGACTCCATGAGCATGAATCCAAATGAATTCATGCACTTTTTTTTTTAATATAAAAAGAGAACATTGTGCCAATTTAACAGGTCTAGAAACAAAATGTTTTTCTCCCTTCAGAGGACTATATAAAAGACGCCTTTAAAGTGTCCAAATATTAGATTTACGGATCAATGCAGCTGTTTTCGGTAATGAGAAAAGTGCTATGGCTTCTCTGTATGAGCCCTTTGAGAGTTTGTTTTTCATTTCTATCTCTGTTTGGTTGTTATTTTCTAGAGTGAGAGTTGTTTGCTCTCATTTTAGGAGGCTAGTGGGGCGTTTGGAAATATCTCCTTAGACTTTCCACCTGTCACTTCTGTCCAGCTTTCTGTAAGGAAAACCTGCTGTGATGCCTTCATTCAGAGCTCAGCATTAAGACACTTGGCTGATAAAGAAATCATGTTCAGATTTAAAAAACAGTTGCATCCTTCAGGGATTTCCCCCCTGTTGTTAGCTTAAAAGCTACATGCAGTGTGCTGTTGGAGGGACATCTTGTATTACATGGAATACTCAAATGAAATATACTATATGGCCAAAAGCAAGTGGCACATCTTTGTAATGTTTTAATTCTAAAACACAACAGCCTCCACTCTGGGCGATACAGTTTGACACAAAGTCTAGTTCCAGTTGGTCCTGAACGTATTGGATTGGACTGAGTTTAGGATTCTATGCTGGACACCCAATTCTTCCACATAAATGTTACAAAAAGGGTATTTATGTGCCTCATGTTGTAAATCAAGGCATGTTGGGAAAGAAGAGTGTCTACGACCTTTTGCCAAAAGTTGAAACCACACTTTCATATCAGTCTACTGTATATGGCAGTACACTTCATTTCAAGAAAAACGGAACTAAAATTACTTATTTACATTTTTTGTATTTAAATGAACTACCAGGCAAAAAAATCTGTCAAATCAACACTTGTTTATGGGCCAACTTTAGTCTGTATGTCCTACTTGTGACAGCCTTAGTCATCTAGTAGATTTTGTTCATGTACACAAATATAAATGGGTGCAGCTATAAGACTTACTTTGCTATAGCGAGAAAGGCCAGCTCCACATTGACTCCTGTCTTCGCACTGGTCTCCATAAATGGTACACCATATTCCTAAATGAGAAACATCAGATGAGCAAGTGGAGTGGCTGTTGTTGAGATGTGACCACACAGAGAAGTGATACATTACCTTCGCCAGCCTCTCTCCATCCTCCGTCTTCACGACCCTCTCTGCAGCAGCGTCTGCCTGTGAGACAGCAGGAGAGGAAAACAACATCATGAGTGGAGGACGGAGGGTCATAGACGCACCATACCATTAGCTACACTGATGCAGCATCGTGTCTCTCTGCACGTCCTCTTATCTGCCGCCGGCTGCTGAGCCAGAGCTCTCTCAGACTGATGAGATGTCAGAAACTCCACCTCAAGCAGAAGAGCACCCCCACACACACTGATGCCCCCGAGTCCTACTGCTCTCACAGCAAACCATCTGATCTGCTGCTGTGTGACATCTCTGACCCCGGGGAAAGGTGAGTCCTCTCTGATCCACCAGAGGGAGCTTAGAAATATATTAGCTCTGACTGCAGATGTATCACCAGCGGCAGTGCGGAAGCTCAAAGCCAGTGATGATAAGTAATTTTTGTGTCAGATATTGAATTTATCCTTCCCAGATCTTTAGAATGAATTTGTGTGGTTCTGTCAGTCTACCATCTTTATGTTCACTGGAGGGAATGTCTTCTCAAAGACAAAAACAAAAAAACAATAGAGAGACACAAACACAATTGAGACTGTGCTTCACTTGTAATTGTTAAAACAAGCGAGTGAGAGTTCACATTCATGCATTCGCTACACAGTGGAGGCTTTAAGGTGTTCACATGTCTGCTTGAGTGTGATAAGAGTGTGTTAAAATTGTGCTAAGAGACCAGTTATCCTCATGATCTTCTTATGGAGCGGAAAAAAGGAAGCTTTGCTCACCTTGTTGCCGAGCAACATGATGACCACATCCTTCTGGGCATACTCGTGAATTTCAGTCAGCCAAGCCTTTCAAAGTAAAAAAGAAAGAGATACAGGAGGGGGGAGAAGAAAGAGATTAGTCCTTTTTAAAAAAGTACCATCGCGTACAGTCTTAATTTTTGTCCTGCTCCTGAGCTCAGATTTTACAATCCTCCAATCAATCATGCTGAGACTCAGTCACTCTCATCCCTGAACACTTTTATTGCTTTCCATTACTGAAACTTGGAAATGCGTGGCAGAGCAACTGATAACATCGTGTCATTTCCAAAGATGGCTGGGAGAAAATGTTGGAGGTACTTTGCATTTAAACCAGTCAAAGTGAAACGTTCAGCTTGAGAGGCTCGAGGAAGTGAAAATGAACCGACAGAATAAAGAGAGAAGGAGTGGGAGGGAAAGTCATTTAATAGTCTTACCCTGATATTGTCAAACGACATCTTACTGGTGATATCATAGAGCAGAAGTAACGCTGTAAAGGGAAACAGAACATTGTTACCTTCACACTGTCAGATGCAACACATTAACACCTACCTGCACACTTTCTAGGCACAATAATAAATTATAGGCTACACATCTCAGCCAGGTTGCCTCCCTACCTACACTACCCGTTCCTACACACACTCACACACACACACACACAGAGCATGAGGAAGTGCATTATCAAATCAAAGGTTACCCTGGGCATCTCTGTAGTAGGCGTGCGTTACGCTTCGGAATCTCTCTTGGCCCGCTGTATCCCAGATCTGCGTAACAAACCACATAATTACACAACAGCTAGCATGGGAAAACTGAACCGCATGATGAACAATCCCCACAGTAAATCCTCCACAGCCAACGACTCAAGCAGAACACATACCATTATATTTCCCTACTGAGCCAAAAATGCAGACAATATTTATATATATTATAGTCAATATTGAGTAAAGACTTATTTTATATAGTTTTAAAAAACCGCACCATTTCAAAGAAAAAAGCTCAACCAAACCAAACCATCAAGAGACAAATTAGCTGCTCCGAGATAAGTTAGCCACAGCTAGCCGCTTAAGCTAAATGTACTATTATAGGCTACTCCCTAGGTTGTTTTCTTGAAAAATAAACACATAGCTATAACTAAATAACATTTTAGGCAATTTAGTGTGTCATGCCATATAAATAAGGTAGAAACTAAATCTGGTCATGAAGAATAAAACAACTAACATTAAAATGGGTATGCTAATAGGATAAGAGGCCTAGCTGAGCAGGTTGAACATTTTGAAAAGCCTTACAGGTTTTTTAGTGCCGTATAACTTTAATTTTTCAGAGGAATAAGCTAAAACCCAAACTAAACAATAAAAAGGCTAGCTGCTAAAGTTGATACATAAATTTTGATGAACATATTGGAAGTTAAGCTAAATAGCCTAGTTTAGCAGAGTAGCTGCAATGTAAGCTGACTCTGGTTCAACATTGTGTGGTTGAGCTTATTTTATACTTAAATTTAAATGTATACAATTTAAATTAATAAATTATATTACATGAAGGTAATGACAAATACATAGAAAGCTAAATTAACATTACTGACTTTTATTTCTAGTTTTCTAAAAGCAGAGTGCAGTCTTTTCAATAATTGGTTTAATAAGACATACAAATATGTATGAAATCCTATCATACGGTTTATAAATACTGTTTATTTTTTACCAAACACTAAGCGTTTGGGTACAGTAGGCCCATCACCTATATTTAGTATAGACTCATGTTGGAAGAGTCTAGTTTGGAATCATTAACAGGATTTGAATCATGTTCATGGCCCATGCAAGGAAAACAAATTAAAAGCATTTCCTCGTAAGGAGGAATCTAATTGTGGCACCTCCCACTCAGTGTTGAATGAACAGGTTATGATGATAGAAAGGTTTGTGCCTTGGATTAACAGCTTGTTGCTGGCACAAAATCATGCAGAGTGGCTCATATTGTATAAATACAATACGTTGATTTGATTGCATGGCAGTACAAACAATGACAGTCATTTAGGTGTCAATTATTTAGGTCAACTATAGATTTGAGAAATCTTTTCAGATGATTTTCGATTCTGTAAACATTTACCAGATGAGTCAATTGGAAAATGGTTTTAAGGAGGATGTAATTATTTGTCATTCAATGAGCTAATAAGGAAGACATCTTCTTAGCAGGTAAAGGTATGTGATCTTACCTGGAGTTTGACTTTCAGGTTGTCGACATCCACCACTTTATTCTGCAAACATGAGAAGAGCAGTGAGAGTCTGACAGTCCACCATATGCTTTACAGACTGGAGTGCTGTAAAAAAAAACTAAACAGAAATGAATGTTGAACATCACCGCAGATTAAGAATAGCTAAGAGACTCAGCATGTGGTAAAAGAAACAAGACAACTAAAAGTGGCTTTGAACAATGGCAGAGAAAGTAATTTGCAACACCCACACAACAGCAAGGTCCTGGGATTAGACTTAATTACACAACAGTGAGAAAGACGGCTGGCAGCATAACAACTGACTCCCCCGTTAATTTCCTGCAGCCCCGTAGGGTGCCCTCTGAGTTCCTGTAGAGAAAGGATCGTCTTAAAATAGTTATGGTTATAAAAAGCTAAATGTGTACAGATGATTATGTTGAAGAAAGAGTGAATGGAAATCAAGGTGATGCTAACATGCATTATTTAAACATGCGTGCTCCAACATGCTTAAATGAAACAACAGGTTCTCTCACGCTCTGTTTAATGGAGGCTGCGGGTTATTTTTATTTGATGTGACCTGCTATAGCATCAAGCCAGGTCGCAACCACAACTCAACCTTGCACAGAAAAACACACCAAAGAGAGATGAAGGAAGTGTGACTAACAAATGCTCTGCAGCACTTCCTTAATCACTTCGTATCAGTGACAGGTCACCACAAACAGCCCCTGCCTTTCCTCTGAAGGCACACACATGTGCTTGAAGGAAATGCAGTCAGGGCTTCACAGTGACAAAAGAAAACCACTGCGATTTGTGAGAGAGACAAAGCGGCCACATGCCAAATCCTCTGCCTTGGCAGAATGGACATGGTTCAACCCCTGCACTAGTTGCTATGGGTTTCCATTTCCCCCCTCAATTATGACATCGGAGGAGCCTGCATGCTGAGTAACTGCTACAAGGAAGCATGCCGAAAATAGACCGGCAATGTTACAAGCTGCCACAACAGCCTGCCTATCCCTGCACAGAGCACCACCTCAGCATACTGAATCAACTACTCCATCAGATCCTCTGTTTCTAAGCAGCTTTGCCCCTGTGCATAAGTAGAAGACAGAAATATATTCTATATTAAGAATGATTTTTCCGATTCAATGGTGTGACAATGAATGTAAAAGTTAACCAGCGTCAGTTTACTTTCCCTAATGGGTTTTATGAATGGGATCTGGCCGCAGCACTTGTTGCTTTGGTTTGAGTGGTGGCCCGATGAACCGTTTATGCTCTTGAATAGACAATTTCCATATAGATCATGTATCTGTCAGACATCCATTACACTCTGTGATGTCTACACTACCATCAGAAGAAGACAATGCATCACTCTGGCTAATGCAACACAATCTCCTCCTCAAACAAGCCCTACTTGACTTGCCATTAGTGTGAGTGTTGTGCCCTGATTGGAGGGATACAGAAGGTCGAAAACATTCGCTTCAAACAACCTATTGTTTCATCTCTGCAAAGAAAGATACAGTATGTGTGTGTGTGTGTGTGTGTGTGTGTGTGTGTGTGTGTGTGTGTGTGTGTGTGTGTGTGTGTGTGTGTGTGTGTGTATGCATGTGGTATATGTCACTGTAGGAGCTGGTCTGTCGGCACTGTGACTCCTTCAGGATCGAGCTGTGCTGTAGCCTTTCCAGGAGACAGAGACGTGGGCAGGCATCTGCCAAGACATTTATGAACAGAGGCTCGCAGCACAAGTGTTCTGAGGAGTTGAATGATCGGTGAGAGGATTTGTACATTTGGTGCCATCATCGCAGAATGACTAAGTGTTCCCCGCAGAAGTAAGGTGATAATTGGGCCACAGCGTGACTAACAATTCTGTCTTTTGTCACTTTTGATATATCATTAGGATGTTTTTCATAAGGCAAATGTTTCCGTATAGTAACGAATAATAACACAAACACAGGAATAATGAACAGTATAACGAGCCATTCTGTGAGACTGTTCAAAAGCATCTCTCTCACCCTAAAGTCTATTCCAACGGTGGCTATAAAGTTGCCTCCCAGAAATGCCCCGTCTTTAAAGCGCACCAAGACGCACGTCTTCCCCACGGACGAGTCTCCCAGCAGCATCACCTACAGCAGACCCACCACCAGAAAAGGGACAACAGGTTACAAAGCATGACTTAAGATAAGATAAGATGAACAGTCCCTCCTGAAGAGGAAATTGAAGCTGAAGGATGTGCTGCAGGCAATATTTATGCAATAATCATGATGTTTGACTCAGATGTTGGGCAATGCCTTATTTTGGTAAGATTGCAACCAACATGACACTCCAGGGAGATGATTCAAGATATTTCAAACCACTCTAACTCACCATTTTAACTCACATCATGTTTCAGTGTGCGTCCAAAACTAATCAATATAATAACAACAGGATGTGCAATTATACAATCCATCCAGCCCATCCAGTTATTCACACAGTGAGTCAGAGCTACATAAACATATTCGTGGATAACACTGCAATTAACTTTTGTCTTTGGGCCTTTATTAAACAGTTGCAGGTGTTCATGTTACATATTTAATGAGAGGGAGCAACAAGTACACCCTCAGCAAATATTTGCTTATCAGTTAGGGCGGACAAAGCTAGCTCGAGAGATTTAAGGGCTCAGACAGACTTCTTAGTCATTTAATTTAAAACCATCAGGTGTTTAAAAACATTGACAATGCATAAATGCAGACTTAAAGGTTTTTGTCCTATTATTCTCCAGATGTGGAGAGTATACAGTCATGTTGTTGCTGCTGGTACACACAGATGTGTATGTATGTCAAACCTACATACACAGATACCTGTTCCGCCAGCAGCACCACCAACAGAAACACAAAAAGACGGAAATACACACCTTGAAGGCAATATCATAATACTCGTTAACAGAAGCGCATCTCTCCAACATATATTTTGACGTTCCGTTTTTAGCCTGCTTTTCCAGCAACAGTGTATTTCTTTCAGACATCTCAAAGCCAAGAAAAGACGCGCAGGCTGAGAAAAAGCCAAAGCGCAGTTTATCTCCGAGATGTGTCCAAGAAAGACGCGCAACGTGTCCGCGAGATCTCCACCGCTCAGTCCCGGTGTCCGCGAGCCCCTTCCGCTCGCATTACTGCGCGTGGCCACAAAATGATCACCAGGCGCTTCCCAGAGGAGGAAGAGATTAAACAAATAAAAATAATTACACCTTAATATCGCACAGTAAGAAGACGGAACTTGAAACCCAATCCTCTACATCCACCAGCAGTTAACAAAGCGGTGATGGCAAACAGGCGGGAACATTTCTCTGCATCCTGGCGTGGGCAGATGGTTAACTGAGCGTGAGGACGTCGGCACCCGGCAGTGTTTCAGGCTGACATTGTGCCCAATAACAGCTGTGGGGGTCAAGCGCACTGCTGGCCGACTCATCCGCCACAGGTGGTGCTGAGGAGGGTCAGAGAGGGGGAGCAGAGACCCGGAGAGGAGGGGGGAAACATGAATTGTGACTAATTAGTGTAAATACACTTGATGTATAATGTGATGTATTCATTCAAGATGGTTATTGGACGCAAAATGGCATGCACACCTTAACCAAAGTCATTTTTCCTAACATGTTTCCTTTAAATAGGCTATATCAGGGAAATATGCCTGAAATGTGACTTATTAATCTAAATAAACTTACCGTGATTTACATTTAAAATGGATACACCCTTATTGGTGCATAAAATGGCGTGCAAACCTCATCCAGATTTATTTTTCCTAAGATGTTTCCTTTAAATATATCAGGATAATTGCTGCCAATCATCACAAAAAGTAGATCCTATTCTTTTATATAATTCTTCAGAACACATTTGTTCTTTACCATCCCTCCCCACAACATAAAAACAATGATCCCCCTTATCTTCTTATCAAAATCTGTAAACAATATCCCACATTTGTTCAATGAATGAGCATGTCATACATGTCTAAAATGGTTTCAGTGAGTCTGAAAAATGAATCTTTCCTGCAGTGTTTGTCTCCCCCCAGTGTTCAAGGCTCCACTCCTCAGTGGTGACAGGGCTCGTGGCCACGGTCAGATTTCATTTATGTTATATAACATGTCATTATTTGACTGAACTCATCTCTCCGTGCCAGGGGCTTCAGCTCCCCCCCTCTGACATGAGCATAATGATTAAACATGTGAGCTGATTGAATGCTTGATTTGATCATGAATAGGATCATAATGACGCTCTCAGATGAACAGCATGTTGTCATATTAATTTATTACATTTATCAGTGTATGACAATAATTCCCTGATGTGGAAAAATATATTATCTTCCAAGAAAATTCAGCATTGTTTTTTTCCCTTTACGGCAAATGGCAAAAATGCACAACAGGAATAAAATACCACGAATAATGTTGTTTGTCATGTTGTTTGTGTGCATATCGCAGTGCAATCCTGTGCAAAATGGCAAAAGATGATCCTTCAATTCTCTAGTCTTTGAGTAAACAGAAGGGCTTGAAGGCAAAGAAAGCTTTAAAAGGTTAAAGTTTATTCTCGCCGAGTGAGCCCGACCACCACACGCTTGATGGATGTTAACCTTCAGTGCATATAAGGCACTTTATCCTGAGCACCTGCACAGCAACAAAAATAACCCGAATAATGATGGAAGTGTTTTTGCAGACACTTCTGCTGTTTATGTGGTGCATTTCTCCCCAGGGCCTTTTGACGCTTGAATCATACTCCAGCACAATCCTAAGATAATGCGAGACTTCCACCCAGATGTCCTCGTTCCTCCTCTGTGCTGCTGTAATGGCACTGACACAAAGCCAAAGTGATCGCAGCGGAAGAATCATACATTAAATGAGCACCATATGCATCTTTCCTGTTTGTCTCCTTTTTTTCTACCTCTTGTCACACAGAGTGCACCTCCCCCTCAATATGTCACACAGCATTACATCACTCCTCCGCTGCAAACATCCAGCAGCAAAGGACTTTGATTAGCAGTGCTGTCTTCAGAAGCAGTGGTATCATTAACCATAATAATACAAACACACACACAGTGTTAAGGCAGTGTAATGCATGCAGTGAGAAGATGCACCATCCCACACAGGAGGATACAACTGATACTGGACTCACACAGCAGAGACCCAGAGAAGATTGGCTAAGGGAAGATGAAAACATGCGAGGGAGGGTGTGTGGGGGACAGGAAGTGTGTGTGGACTCACTGTGAGGCCGATGCCCACGGTGGCAGTGAAGGATCCTGGGAGGAACTTGCCCTGGTCGAACTGAACCAGCAGGGAAGTCTTGCCCACGCCGCTGTCCCCCACGAGGATGGTCTGCAGAGAGATGCAACGTCAGGTTTCCCCGCTAACTGCCTGAGGCCAGTGCACTGTGAGTGGGAACATAGTGTGTGTGTGTTTTAATGCACATCTGTTGATCAGGGCACAGCTCACTGTTCTGTAATAACATGTGATGACTGATGTCTCCAAGAAGGGAAGCGCACCGTGGAGCACTGAACTGGGAAGAAGACAATGCATCACCCTGGCTAATGCAACACAATCTTCTCCTCAAACAACCCCTACTTGACTTGCCATTAGTTTGAGTGTTGTGCCCTGATTGGAGGGATACAGAAGGTTGAAACACTCGCTTCAAACAACCTATTGTTTCATCTCCAATCGCGAAGGTCTGTGCGGGGGGAGGTAAGATGGCACATTTGATTCCCCACCACTGTTAGAGATTCGCCAAACTAGGTTAGCTTGTCTCGGCCGGTCGATTTTGGTTAAGTCTCGTCTGACCCGAACCAAAAGTCTGCGTCCCCACTTTTCTCCAGGACGACGTTCCGTAATACCTCCTTTTCTTTTCGAAAAAACTGTAATTTCGTACATCTGTAAAGTGTCTCTTCGTGATTTATACTAACTCGAACCTTTCGCTCGGTTAATACCGGGAAGTGATTAAAAAATACTAGTTACGGTTGAGGGTTTATATAAGTTTGTTGAGACCTCTTTACAGTACAACGGTACCCTGTACAAGTAGGAAGAGATGAGGAACGTATTCCGGGAATGTTTCACTGGGGGGGGGAGGGATGACAGTGGAGGTAGTAGTGAGCCACGTATGTGGTGTCAGGGTGTACCGAGGACTCTTTTCGGGGAGTGAGGACGAACAAAGGCTGTCAACAGGACTCTTGCAAATGTACGGTCGAATGTTAAATTACTCCTGCGTAAATTTTATCGAGTTTACAATAAAGTACGACCGGCCGAATTGTGACGTGTTGTGCGACACTCGTACCGTTTGTAATCGGAGACCACACGTAGTACTCTGAATTCCCCGCCAAATACTTCATGGTGCAGTGTGAACACCGCTTTTTTGTACAGAGACTTACGGAAATTGGGATCTACGTGCCACTGACCTGGGATGTGAGAAGGTATTCACCGAGTTTTTCTGGGCATAATCTTATTTATACACAAAAATACGTAAAAAACAGAAAATCATTCTTTTTTAGTAAACATATATAAATCATCTATAAAACCAAGTGTGATCTTATAAAATATAAATAAAAAGTATAAATATTAAAAATCTTTAAAAAATGGTAAAACTTTTTTGCAACGGGGTACTCGAAGGTATCTTTTACGCTCCCAAGTAAAAACTGGGTGAGTACCTTCGAACCCATCATCACTTATGTTTTGATGTTAAAGAATTTTACATTTAAATTTTACATTTGTAACTACTATAGTTTTACAAAAACTCCTTATCGACTCCGACCCTTATACTTACTATTAAAAAAAAAATAAAGTTTCTATCTAAGTCTTCCTCCTGTTTATAGGATAGTATAAATACTTTGTATACATATACGAAACAGACTGCAGTAACAGACAAACGACCTTAAAGACTTCGATAAGACATAAAAGTCGTAAATTCCTATAACTAAAATGAGTCGTAAATTTTTCCCGATAGTACGAAGTCTTCCTCGTTTGGCGAGAGTAATTCGGCCGTCTGCTCGAAACTAAAAGAAGAGACAAATAGATAGTTTTGACAGTGTTAAGACGCAAAAAATACCTTATCGGTCTCAGCTTACACAGCAGGTTGAACCACCCTACAGCCACTTGGATTCACACGCCAAAGTCTCACGACGCACACTACGACGCGAACGTACCCCCGAGAAACTCTTCGCGCATTCTACGTCGCCCCAGCCTCTTCCTCACCCACCCCCCACCACACGTCATTTACAGTTGTTCCTACGTTCGTTAGACCGACCGACTCCTCGTAGGCCCGACCCTGCGACGTGGCGCCGCGGCTCTTCCGACTTGGTACCCGCCTGTCGTCCCGGCTAACTACGGGGTGCAGGTCTCCTAAACCCACTGTTCAAGCGCTCGTCGTACGGGACCGCCCCCTCTGCGATACCTGGGGCCTGTTACTTGAACAGTTATAGCGCGACGCAACACAACGACACAACCTAAACAAAACCGAATTTAACATGCCCCTGAGACGCGTTTGCTCCTTGCTCTCATGTAAGTAATAACCACAACTACATATAAGTAATGTATCTACCAAATATTCCATGTCAAGTGATCTCTCGTGCCTATCGTCACAACAACCAGCGACCACCTCGATCAGATTTAATTCATCAAAAGAAAATAACGCAACGCTTCATGCCCTGGTCCGACGGAAAGGTTCCAGTTCCCTATTATAGTCAATTGTCCCGTTTAGAACTACTGTACCTACGTCCCGGCCGGGACTGGCTTAAACGACGGGTCATCCGTTCCTAAAATCGTCACAAAATATAACCTTCAATCTTTCGTAAGTTAAGACACTTGTAATCCTCTCATACCTATGTAGAGAGCTTGTCGCCGCTAACTTTGCTTGACCTTCGTCTAAAAGAAAAAGAAACTACATATCAAATGTTTTAGTGAGCGAACCAACATTGTGACAAAGAACAAATAATATTGGTTGAAAACAATTCCAGTATGAACATAACAATTGGACAAAAAAGTAATAGACGCAGAATACAAAAACATCGATACATTATTCGGGATATCTCCACACGGACAAACGGAGTGACTCGACTCCAATAGTCACGGCGAGTCAGAAAGTCCTCCTCGAGAGATTTCGAGAGGGGGGGCCCGCCTGGCTACATGTCTCATTTAAGGGTTACAATCTATCTTTCTGTGTTTCGCGAGACGACCAAAACCCCCAAACCCCATACAAATTTACTTCTGTTATTATAGTTTTAATTTGGGATAATTAACGTGTGATTTTGGTAATAAAGTTTTTTTCCTTGTAAAGTGTAATTTGAGACAAAAATGAACCCGACCCCGCACGTTAAATCTAAAAGGACCCCCCCCACCCCCACAACGAATCAAAATACGCCGTGACATACTGCTTCTATACGCATCAAGCAAATCATATTCTATTATTCTACATGAAACAACTAGGTTCTACCTTTAACAAAAATTTATTTCATTTTTTTTTTTGTAAGATTATTTTCAAAAAAAAAAGAGGGGTTAAAAGCCGCGGCGGTGATACCACTACGCGGGAATCGGAAGCGGACATATGACGGATACTGCCTCCCGCGCCGGGACGGTACTCGTGTAAAGGCCAACAAGTACGAAACAGAAGACACACGGAGGAATAACACTGTCAACTGGCACAATCACGAAGAAATACAGTTTTTCCAAAAACAATTAAGAATAAATCTCTCTACATAACCGTCCTTCACTAATACATCTAATCTAGTCATCAATACGAGAAGACAAATATTTAGTTGGTTTTTGTTTCGTAACCAAAATAAAAACCAATCGCATTACGACTGTTTATTTCCCGTTCCATTTCTCTCTATCGGACATACTTATATTTTTCTTTCGGAAGAAACTATGCCATTTGTGTCATAACCTGTGTGTGTGTCGCTCTGTGTGTGTGTGTGCTGTGTGTGTGTGTGGTGTGTCGACTGAGATGACACATAGNCCCATAGAAAATCTTTGAAGGGAGTTGAAAGTCCGTGTTGCCCAGCGACAGCATCAAAAAATCACTGCTCAGAGGAGATCTGCATGGAGGAATGGGCCAAAATACCAGCAACAGTGTGTGAAAACCTTGTGAAGACAAACTTTTGTTATTGGCCAAATACTTATTTTCCACCATAATTTGCAAATAAATTCTTTAAAAATCAGACAATGTGATTTTCTGGATTTTTTTTTTCTCATTTTGTCTCTCATAGTTGAGGTATACCTAGGATGAAAATTACAGGCCTCATCTTTTTAAATGGGAGTACTTGCACAATTGGTGGCTGACTAAATACTTTTTTTCCCCACTGTATATTTCTAAACCATTAAACCCTATTTGATCAGGTACAAGCACATGACTGGTGTGGAAGTTTCAAAGCTATGTACATACAGATAACTAGGCTCAATAGTGGCTCCATTGGAGAGTTTATAGAAACATAACCGTAGGATGATCTGCCTGCCATTTGTGCTGGGTGTCACTTATAACCAGTAAGAAAAGAAAAAAAACATGAAATCTCTTAAAAAATCTTATTGAAATAATTGCATTTGTATAAGTCTTGATGCTTTTACTGTTAGTTTTCTGTTTGTAAAAAGCATTCAAATAAAGCAAAAAGTCACAGCACATATAATTATGTATTTTATTAAGGTTCCAGATAAGGAACTAGCCTGTCAATCCAGATGGATGGGACAAACTAGAGGTTACTTTTCTAACAAATTGAGTCACTAAAATTGAGTAGGATGGCAGATGTTGACTATTACTCTGAAAACTATCATAAAAAGAACATGACTTTTTCTAACATTTTTAATCATTGGTATCTTGTGGTGAAAAGCAGGAGCAGATCCTGCTCACTGAATCACCGCAGTCGTGTTTGACATATTTGCAGTGATGAGCAGTCTCACACATTGAGCCTGATAATGACCTAGTTAGAGCCTCTGCCACAGTAAACCAGGAGAGGACCTGTGAGGGAGGCTTGGAGACAGACAGGGGCTGTTGGAAATCATCATGGTGAAGAACAATCATCCGTGCCCTCCAAGGGTTAGGCCGTCCTGTCTCTTCTTTCAACTGGTTAAAATCAGCGCTCATGTAACACAGTTTATTTATATCGAAAGCAACAGACTGTAATTTGTAGTTGTGGCTCACACAGACATGAGTTTCCTTTTATGTATGAAAGCTCTTATATTTGGTCATTCAATAAAAAGCACAAGGGCTCTTTGACGGCGTAATCGTTATGTACCCACTTAGTGCAGAGGGACTCAAACAGGTCAGGGTACTCTCCTGCTTCGTGGGTGTGACGCGACGGAGAGGAGGGAGCGTGGGCATTTGACAGGAAATTATGTGTATGTTTTCCTACAAATAAAATGCAAGTATATTTTTGGAGGATATACCTTGCACTCACGGTGCATTGCAACATTTACACAAAGTAGATTACAATGTGGCTTTTGAAAATGCATGCGAATGTAAAAGCCAATGCATACGAATATACATTTTTATATATATATATATATTCACTGAGTCAGTATTTAAGTGAGTGCACTTTTGGAAGCAGTCTGTGTAAAAAGGTTTCTTAGGGTTCACATGTGGACACTGGGACATTCACAATCATTCTATGATACAAAGGTTTTGTCTGGTTACAAAAAACATCTTCTGAAGTGTATATGTATAAATATATAAGCACAAAAAGTAAAGTAAACAATCTTTTCACCCAACCAAATTGAATGAGAAACTAATTTTAAAAGTTGATGCATCTTATCATGAGGCACTGATATAGTACACAGCAAACCTTCTCCAGTCTTAGTTTAACACCTCCTCCTAGTGGAGAAATTGTCCTTTACAGTCTGATCCAACCATCAAATAAATTCAAAACATATTTTCTGATTAAATCATAGTTTTACAAGGCAGCGTTGACTCCAGACCATCCATAACGGAAATGAAAGAAGCAACAACATTTTCTTAAAGTACAAAGATCATTTATTTTCATATAAATACATATAAATTATAAACATTTCACATCATGTCTTACAGTATTAACTATTGATATGAGGGGGATCTGACAAGGAACTGTAAAAACAAAACGTGCACCCCCCCCCATTTGTACGCAATGTGTATCTGTACATCTTTAGTGTTACATTGGCTTGCGCCTCAATTTAGTTGGAACTCTTTCAACATCAAGTTAAATCCTGTGAGCTCAGTTTTACATTCCCTTTAGTTTAAGATTATCATAACTCAATATAAAAACGTACTGAACTCAGTCCAAAGGCACTATCTGAAGACAGTCAGCCACAGAACGTCAACACATGAAGCAAAATACTCCAAGCAGGCAAGCAAAGCATACGTTTTCGGACTGGTTGGCTAAATAGTGAATCCATGTAATGCATAACGCAGTCTTTTAATACAGGGTGCATGTAAAACTGTTATTTTGCAATAAGTAGTAAAACTAGCTCAAGCTCTGCTCTGGATCTTTAAAAAAAAAAAACAGTGGTCCATCAGCCTTCCTCTGGCATCTCTGTCACATCATTGCTTCATAGGAGAATTTAGTCAGGGGAAGAAATACTGTACAAAGATGGCTCTTTTTACTGAATGTCTTTTCCATCAGCAGCAGTTGTGACTCAAACCATAGAGAAGTGGGGCTGTATATGTGATAACCTCAAAACAAAAGAAAACGCCCCGTTCTGTTTGCTCTTGTTACCATTTAACAAGGACCTGAATAGCCTGAACACCATTTAAAATATATCGACTTGGAACCGCCAATGTAACTTTTTTTGGCCAGGTGAAATAAACAACTTTAGTCCACAACTTTTAAAAAGAAAAACCCTCAGCTAGTTTCCTAAAAACAGAAGTCTATTCTGAGAAGTAAGATCAAGTCACAAGTTTAAAATGATTTCAGCATTAAAAGCCTTTAGAGAAAGCCCAGTTGGACTGTATAGTCAAGGGGTCTCAGTCTTACAATAGCCCTATAGTCAAGTGTGAATAGTGGAGTCGATTTTGGACGCTTGAAATTATTTTAAAACCATAATGTAGCAGAAAGGAGGGATATTTGGGATCCACCATAGCAGAACTTGGGCTTTAGCTTCCTTTGTAGACAAACAAATTAAAGATAAAACTCTTCAGCTTTAGTCAATAAACCTCTTAAATATAGTTTGTCAACATTCAAAGATTGTCTTTTGCAGTAGCATGTAGAAAACCAATCCAAACATGTTGGGTTTGAATATCAGTCTGCAGGGGTTTTCTTACGTAAATGAGGTTAACCCCGAAAGCCCCAACAAGCAGAGTCCTGCGTCACTCTTCTTTCTCATGATTGGCGTTTCCATTCATAACTCCGTTGCTGTGGTGTGCCCATGTCTGATTCTGCAGCACTTTAGGCAGCCTCTTGCCCTTGGTGTAGGCGTGGTACCAGAAGTTGAGGAAGAGGAACAGGAAAATCAGGCCGTAGGAGGCGATGATGTAGATAAAGATGGGGAACTCGTAGGTGCAGTCCTTTATGAAGAAATACTGGGAGATGTGGGTAGTCACCATCATAAACTGGATCTGGGGCGCAACAGATAAAAACAAAAGGTTGAGTCAAGATTTCACACAGATTCTCATGGTACACTTTGAAAAAGGAGAGAAACAAGCAGTCTGAGTCAGATCAACATACCAGCTGAATGGAAGTCAGGTATTTCTTCCACCACAGATACTTCTGGTAGTTTGGGCCCAAAGCAGTCAGGCCGTAGTACGAGTACATGATAACATGGACGATACAGTTCAGCAGGGCGTGAAATGTCCCCATTCCACCTGAAAATAGAAACATGTATTAGGGGTAAATATCAAGACAACCTTTTAAAAATAAAAAAGTAATATCATTAAAACGATAAGTTGAGCAAATCATACCTGCAGAAAAGCATACTCCAAACCACCACGTGAATGGCATGATTGAGTGATGGTACACATGAAGAAATGTCACCTGGCTATACTTCTTCCTCAGAACAAAGAAGATCTGAAAAAAAGAAAAACTAAAGATTTGCTGTGTGATACAATCGGAATCTTGTGCAAAACAATGAGGAAATATGTCAAAGTCAAAATGCCTGACTGATCTTTCAACTTACCGTGTCCAACATCTCAATGAACTTTGAGAAATAGTAGAGCCAGCATGTTGCCGCCATCTAGAGGAGACAGCAAATAGTATTTCAGTACAGGTACTAGACATATCAGACACAACAACATAGGCCTACAGATGTATAAACACCAGCTTACTCTCACACCCTGGGGGGACTCCGAGTAGTCGACTGGGTCACAGCGAAAAGAGTATCCCGTTCCCCATCCTGACATCACATACTGTAGAGAACAATGCAAAGTGTGGTTACTCACAAGCAACTGGTTGTTGATTTTTCTCCATGTTTAGTTCTGATCTAAAAATGTTGGCATTACTCAATGTTTGAGCTGCGTCGGTCAGTTATAATTGAAATCCAGTTCATCAACACATATAAAGTAGTTTTCCATAAGGAATATGCTGTACAAGATTAGGTCATGCAGCTCTTTAGGCAATGTTTTGAAACCAGTGCATGGGAAGAACACACCCGAAGAACTGGTTTAAACCTCACATCAATACCCATGTTAACAAAACAAAAAATGTACATGAAAAGCTTTTCACAAGACCTCTGATGGCATGTGTCACGTATCTGTTCTTAACAAAGGGAACAACAACACAAGTACAGACTACTATGATCCTGTGGTATACAAAGCTGTGTAAAATCTTCCATTCAGAAGAATGAATTCCACAGACATAAATGTCATGCCAACCAAATGATAACACGACTTGCCTCGTAGCACATGTAAAGCGAGAGAGCCACAACACTGAAGTTGTAGACAATGAGAACTCCTTTCAGGTCGAAGGCCTTACGGTTCTCCATCAACCTTGGCCCCAGCGATGTGACAAAGTAAATGTACGCTGCAATGATGAGCGTTTGGGGCAGAGGAGACGACATGAGGAACCAGGTCTCCGTCCGTCTGTCTGCAACAGGTTGGTGAGATCAACAAGGTTCAGATAGAGAAAAGTTCATCATGTTTACATACAGAGAAACAAAATCACAAGTCAGGGGTGTCCAAACTTCCTTCACTGAGGGCCACATACAGAAAAACATACAAAACTTAAAGTTCAAGTTAGCAAAATCAATCAAATGTAGGTAAATGATGCTTTATACTTGAATATGTATATTCAAAAAGTACAATACAAGCACAGGTTTCATGTGTGGGCCATATTCCATTATACTTTTTGAATTTGCTGAGGGCCGATTTGAAATGGACCACGGGCCTCACTTGGCACCTGGCCGTAGTTTGGACACCCCTTTCACAAGTGATCACAATGGGTCATACAGCCACCTTGTATGCTTAGGACTCACCTGCATTTTTGATGAACTCTGAATACATGAGTGCGGCTGAGGACTTTATGTCATCAATTTCCATTCTGAGACTTGACCCTTGCAGTTTACCGAGAATCTCCATTTTCAGACAAGATTTTTGCCGTTTACCTGGAAGAGCAAAGGCGAAGTCAACAAGTCAGACATGAGTTCACTCGCATTATGATAAGCCCGGCACATAAACAATTAGTTAGAAGGGTCCATAACCAGCAAAACGTTATTTGTTTACACAATTGTTAAACTGTTTCAAAAGCCAAATTGACAGATTAACAACACTTTATTTGAGAAAGTTTAACATTAAAAAATAATCCTAATAAAATGTCACAATGCACAACCAGAATTCCTCCACTTTCATTATAAACTCCCACCAGGATGTAGGCCTCTCCCAAACAACTGCTGCAAATTTCAGTGAAAAGCGCTCACATCTCCTCCACATGCAACCGCTTTTTCATAATCAGGATGGAATTTTTAACTGTTGCTCAACATCTAAACCATGTTTACCCAAGTAGCTGGTGGCAAAAATAAAATTGCCATTTGTTTTACTTAAAAATCAAACTGATTTGGCTAAAAGACTGGACTGTATAGGAAAAAGCCATTCTTTGCTGCCCCTCTGAGCATCTTAGAAAGACAAAGCCAAGAGTGTACTGGCCGTACAATGAGTAGCAGTCACTGTGCAAAAACAGTAGGACTAATTTATTCAAGAAAAATGTACACGTGGATAATGTATAAAAAAAAAAAGTGTCCAGTTATAATCATGTGTTTGCATCAACAAAACACTGGCACTCTTGAATGAATACTCAAGTAAAACTTTGCCATAATGTTTTCTCAATGGGAACATTCTAAGAGTTGGCAGGAAGCAATGCAAGTGGGCAGATACTATTGCATAAAAAAAATTTTTTTTACAATGACAAGAAAGGGTTGAATGATATCACCACTTTAGTACAGATGTTTAAAACGGCACACCATGCAATGTGGTCAGTACACTAAGCTTTAACTGGACACTCTGCCAAAGGGTGACAATAATCATGAGCCAGGAACGGTTTAAAAGTTACAAATTGTGTAAAACGCAACCCATCCGTTTCCAGCGAGGGGACAGTGACTGGAAAAGTACCAGGGTCAACATTTGTTCTATTGAGATAAGGAGTTAGTGGCTTGACTGGTTTAAGAACTTGCCTGTAGTTTGGAAAATATGCATAGGGTATATTCCTTTGTTAGGGACATAAAATAAAATCCTTATCAAGTCAATATACAAGTTAGATTTTTTTTTTTCTTCCAGTCAGACACTGCCATTTTTTTAATAAATAAACCCCCATTACCCGTATTCTGCCAAGTGTATACAGAACAATACATGACAGGGTGTGTCTAGCTGAATGCAACAGGAACTTGAACTGAGCATGAGTAAGTCATTAGGTGAATGGTGAAAAAAAAAAAGAAGGCATGGCTGTCTGGAGTTTCTTCACTAATGAAGACATGTCTCGACACAGCCTTAATAAACATTATAGTCAGGGATCCTAATATAAAGGCTACCTGACTTATGCTGTGTACATTAAGTGTCAACTCCCACATATAACATGTTTGAATTCTAGTCCTAAAAGCACCTCAAATGTAAATGCAGTTCATTATATAATGTGTGTAAAAGCAGTTATAGTACAGGATCGTCAAAAGACATTACAAATGCAGTTAGTGGGTGCTAAATTATTAATGGAAAGACAATTATTGATAGAATAGCCATTCTTTAACCCATAAGAACCCAGACCCATTTCTACTTTTGGGGAAATTAAGGGGAACACAATTCAGACTAAATCGACCATATTTCTGACAAGAAACCCCCCTAGTGTCAAATATCTGAAATGTGACAATTTATTTGTCACATTGGGCTTTAAACGGTAAAATAACTCCTACTTTTAACTTAATTAATGAGGATGATTTTTTTTGGTTTAAATTCGTTTGAAAATTATTTTAATTGAATAATAAGAACATATTAACTCAATATAATTGAATCAGCTAAATTAACTGAGCAGATCATAACAATATTTCCAATTGTGCATATGTGTCACTTTGGGTTTACTGTGAAAGTTTAGGGTTAAAGTCCCGATGTGACACCAGTGTCACAGCGATATTTATCTAATTTGTTTCATATCAATTTGATCAATAAATGTTAAATGTCATAAAGGACATGTTATGTAATCATTTTATATTTTAATTCTTAAATGGCTTGAATTTTACCTTTTGCAACAACAACAAAAAGCTTTTGAAATGTAGCTAGTTCTGTCACATGTGTTAGCCTGGCACATGGACATCTTGGACATGTTGTTATGGGAACACAAAATCAAATGTCCTGGACCATGACCCACCAGACTGTTCAGTGTGTGTCACTTAGGGACTTCATGAGATACAATTAAGGCTAAAGCTGTATAAGGAACTTTCCAGAACATTTAAAGTTCATGTGACACCCGTGTCACGGTGGGTCCTTACGGGTTAAAAACAATAAACGCAGTAATTAAGATAAAATCAAAACACCGCCTTGAACATGGTACATTACATTTAAATGTACATTGGAAAGTGTTTTAGAAGCCATTCCAACTGAAGGATGTAATAAAACCATACTCAGTAAAATTGTGCTCCATTTGTAGGAATAAAAAAACAATCCAAACGGATACAGATACATCCCCACGCCTGTATCGCTCTAATCACTGATGATGAAGAGCAGATGAGACAACTGATGAAAAACAGGTCTAACGAGTACCAGCAGCTCCCAACGCCAGGAAATGTTTCAGTAATCACGGGCACGCTTGTGCAATCACATTTTAATTGGATAATCGTCAGTATTATTTTTGGTTTGTCTCATCACTTGACTCAAATTCAGTTAAGAAAAAGTCACATTACAAACCTTGAATTACCGCTGCCACTCGATGAAAATCCTTTTTGTCGGTTACCACTCTTTTGTATCCCAATTCACAACTCACCTGCCCAACAGGTGTGCCTAGTGTTCTGCTCACGCGCAGACAGGGCACGCTCTCATCCCTTCTTAAGGGCACCCCCGGAGGGCGTGGCCTATCTCCCAGCTACGGTTCCATGTTGTTCCTGATTGGTCAATTTTGGGCCCAATACTAGTTCATTCTTCAATGATGCCTCATCGAAAGTTGTCAAGATGTACTACAGTAGGCTACAGAAAGAATATCCTGTTCAAACTTAGTTAATAACTGGTTTCAGTGCAAAAAAGGGAGGGTTTTTTTTCTTCACAAACTCCTAAAAACCACACTCAAATCACATAAGTTGATAAAAGAAACAAGGTAACATTCCCAGTGTTTTTATTATAAGACATAATAGTTAAAACTGTACAATTCAAGACACTTCAGGTAATGTGAGATAAAGATAAATTACTGCTTCATGATATTATGCTAGAGACAGAAACAGTATACAGGATATAAAATGTTTTCATATTCAAAATTACTTGATAGATATGCCAAAAGATAACTGTATTAATGACTGTGATGTGTTATTGTTATTTTTGGCGTCAGTATTACGCCTCATTTGGGTCAAGGTGTCTGAGGCAATAGGTATAACAATGAGGAGGGTGGGACAGAGACAAGAGGCCTATACTACGAAGCAGGATCTCCATGGTAACTTATGCTGAGCGGCTAACCTGCCCCGGAGCAGGTTAGGTTGCAGGCTAAGAGATCAAATCAGTGAAAGCACTGCCTGCTGACCAATCAGAGCTCAGTGTGCGGAGCAGAGGTGGCGCTAGGGGGTGGCTACTTGGGCTCAAGTCCCGGATGTTTTCTGAAAAGCCCCGGATGTTTCACTTAAAAAAAAAATATATATATATATATATTTTTTTTTTTATTTAAAACGTCTCGGGAGTAATGTGCAGTACCGGAGTCCACCAGAGAGGCAGCCGCTGCGGGACAGTAGCCTGCGTACTGCGTAACCTTCCCTGCCCTGAAGAAGAGGTGATCCTTCCTAGTGCCCATCGCCATATGGCTCTGCTAGTGCCTGACGAGTTTTAAGCTAATAGTCTATAAAGTTATGGATATTGGAAAGTTATTTTCATTGAAAAAGGCGCCACAAGCTGCAGCAGCAGCAGTAGTATCAGCATCAGACAACAATGTCATCACCAGCAGTGAAGAAATGGATGATGTTTCAGGTTTGTGAATCTAATGGTGATATCTGCAGTCTGGCTGACTGAGTAAGAAGTGAAAAAGAGTGATGTAATGTTAATGTTATAGCTGGTAAACATGGAGTAACCACACTAAGTATACCCTTATGTTAGTATGTATACAGAACATGACTAAAAACTTATCCTAAGATGTAACGTTAACCCTTCATACCTCAGTCTACCTTTAAGACACTAAAATAACGTATTCCAATTTTTATTTTGTTTTGGAATTATACCGGCTCTCGTTTCCAGTACACTTAACGTAACCATAGCAACGGAACTGACAGGCAACGGAACTGACAGGCAACCCTCTGAATCAGACTCCGATTGGCTGTGACTGCATCCACTCAGAGTGTCCGATTCAGAAACGTGACTCTTACACTCTTTACGTCACAAACAAAGATGGTGGATGAGAATAGATCTATAAAACGATAAGCAATGCACCAGAATCAAGGTGAGACTATCCGCATCCTTTGAAACTCTACGCACATTCGTTTCACCGAAATAAGTAAACGACTGTATTTGAGTGAGTTAAGGCATTAGTTTGCTTCATTAAAGGATGTTAATGAAGAAGTGTTCTCCAGTGCCTTTTGTCCGCTATAAGGTATCCTTAAGGTAGGGTTAATGTTGCTCTCAAAGTGCACCAGATTGATGCTTTTAACTTCAATATTTAAAAAAATCTCCCGGGGGGAGCATGCCCCCGACCCCCTAAAAGACGGCGACGACCCCCCTAAAGGATGTTCGGTCCACCCCCCCAAATAGAACTTTACCCCTGCACCCCACAACAACTCCTGGGCTAAGCCCCGGATCTCCTACAATCCTAAATCCGCCACTGGTGCGGAGTTTAAAGCGATCAAGTCACATTACAGGAGATACAGAAAAACTGCCGTTGCAGGAAAGACGGCCGGCAAAAATCAACTGACTGTGTGAACGTGAACATTAATAGAATATCACCTCCCATCTTCAAAGCAATCTGACTATTATAACATTAGCTTTAAGAAAACGTAGCCTACTTAAATATCTGCCACAACATAAGTAACTGGATCAAAGTAACATTACGTACAGTCCGCGGCACTGTGAGTGCAGACGTCCATTATCATTAACACATTAAGTTGACGAAACACTCGAGTCAAATGTAATTAAAGTCAGATCGTTTCTTAGACGGGGCAGTGATATCATAAACCTGTTAATGTACGCATTCATTCTTTTTCCAGCTGTTTTCACCTTGCAGGTGAATGTGTGTATGTGGCTTTTATCCTGGATAAAGTGTTTAAGTCATGGATGTTTACAGTTTAACTTCTTCATATTTGACTAATATTAAAGTTCACTTTTCATTCAAGAAATATGACGCTCCGCTGTCAGTACGCTTCTCCATGTTTGTGATTGGTCGAATGCTCCAAATACCACCACTTTCATGTGAACGCGCACCTAACTAGATAGGGCACGGCTGGCTTGAGCGATCCACTTGATAACCTGTGTCGTAGTATAGTTTAGCGAGAGCGCGTATGTTTTGGATTAAGCCAACCGGCTAACTCAAACATATCTTGGTTAGGTTGAACCAGCTTCGTAGTACAGGCCTCTGGATTCACTCTTACTTTCGCAGCTAGTTTCATTAAACGGCTGTCAGAACTAACAAATAAATGTAAATTTAGCTGGGAATGATAAGACAATGGGTGCTATTTAGTAACTATTAGTTACCCATGTGGTCAGTCTCTTTCCAATGTGTTGAAAAAAACACTTAGAAAGACTACAATAGATACGTATTTTGCTGATCTCGAAACTAGGGAGGCTCCGATAGGGTATTTTGGGGCCGTTAGCCGAAATCAGTATCGGCCGATGCCGATTGCCGATCCGATCGGGTGGGTGGGGGCTATGGGGATCTTCTATTTAAAGTGATGTTTAAAACTCAGTTAGTGGAGCTCATTTTTATATTGCTTCAGTTTATAATCGTAACAGATTGAAAAGTTCATTTTCAATACATGATGCGAACAACCAACATAATCATTACATTCAAATGAAGTACATTATTCAAGTTTACATTTGGATAATAACAAGGGAGAAGTTAGCGGAAGCGCTCTCTTTAACTCTCTCCCTCTCTTTCTCCTGACAGTCTGTCAGTATCTCATGCAGCTCACTGATCCAGTAATGAGTGACCCGACAGTAAAGAATAAACATATTTATAACTAGTTTACATAGTTCCAGAGGTAGATCAAATAGCATCCCTACTCGAAACCTAACAATAAATATATTCTTATTTGCCGAAAAAAATTGCAGATATTCCCCCAATTACTACTATGAATAATTCAAAATACAAAATTGGCTTGGAACTTGGTGACAGGACTATGGCAAGATGTAAGACTTAATATGCATGCTAAGGACCATGTCAGTTTTACATCCAAATAAAAAAAATCATAATTTTTTAAATAATCACATATCAAATGTAGAAAAAAAACCATTTGTGCATCTTTATAATAGTATACCATTATTTACACATTCCAATTTACCATCTTTATCTATGCCTGCAATGATGAAACAAGAGATATTTTCCCAAAGTCGTTATTATCTTCACATTTATCCCCAGAGGATCATCTTCAAGATGTGTGCACATTTCCATAGTCAGACTGTAACGGAGGTGATCTCTGGGGCCATAGATCTCGGCCTCCGTTACGGATTGTGTAGCTTTGTTGGTGGTGAAATGTATGTAGTGTGTGCATCTGTCTCTGTTTGCTGGTTTTATGTTAAAAGTGTTCCCCTTCCCCATGTCTGTGGCTGTTGATTGTGTGCACCTGGTGCCCTGTGTTGTCTCCCCCCCCCCACCTGTGTCTAATTGCTGATTAGTGTGTGTATTTAGGCTCTGTTTCCCTGTCTGTTAAGGGAGAGGGAGTGTGTGTGAGATCCTTGTGGCTGCAGGCTGTGTTCAGGGAGAAACAGCAGGATTGAGGCTGTGTGTCATGTGTTCATGATGTAATGAATGCCCACATCGGGTTGTATTTTGGACGTTCTGCCTCTGTCTCCTTGCTTGGTCGGGCCGCTCAATTGTCAGCTTCACACAGACACTTTGCATGTCCACACGAAGAAAAACAGCATCAGTCTTCATCACTACTCCATGCATCCTGAAAGGCCGGGTTCACTGAGGACTGGTCAGCAGCAGCCTGTAAGGACGCAACACTGAATGAAGATACTTGTCCCTGAATTCAAAAGTATGCATAGTGTGGCTTATTTTATAAATGAATCAAGTTCAAATGGAAAATGACAGGTTGTTTTTTTATAGAATGTACTTTGTTTATATCTAAACCAGTATGTTCTGGGTGATTGTCATAATCTAAATTCTTAAGATTATGTACAGTCTATCTACAATAACATTTCTGCTATGAAGACCAAATAACAAAATGAAGACATTTCAGATTGCCACTACAACATATTGACTCTTGAAATAGAGTTGAACTTTTACAAAGTTAATTTAATCCACATGGTGTCATGGTCTTGTCTTTCCTATATCTAGTTTCATTTTATTAGTACCTGATTTGCAGTTGTTGACTCTTCTTCCACATCTGGGGCACGAGGGGCAGGAACCCACGCCAGGATGTTACAGTCTTTACCTCCAGTATAGAGCTCCTAAACATAAACAAGAACAAAGGCAACTCAGTTCTGACAAATTGAGCCACACACGGTTACAGGGAACAAAAGAAGAGCTGCTGTCACAGCATCACTTTCACCTTGAAGCGCCTCCAAACAATGACATCAGCCCCGAGGGAACAGTCGTGTTAACAAGGATGATAGGGACCAAGAGTAAAATAATTAATACGCTTAAAACTGCCCATGCAATAGGAGTGAACACATGGGACACATTCTGTGTGTCAAAGGGCTGCTCAGTTTCATTACATCTGACAAGAGGTTCCTGTAAGAAGCAAAACATTTAAAAGGAAACCGAAATTTTCTTTTTGACAAGCTGCCAAACTACATTCCTATGTTTCACCTGTCAAACCAGCGAGTGTAACCAGATGTTTACGTGGGCAGATAGCGTGGCCTTGATTGGGCTTTTCATTTACAATGATTATACCTTGCAAAAATGACCTTACAATTAAAAAGATAATGTGGGACACTGCCATATTAGGCCGTTTTTATACTAGACTTGAGTAAGTACAAATACAAAACTGAATAAGCATATTGATAAACTTTTACTTTGTCAGTTTAGCATATGAAAGAATTGTATGACCAAGATGCAAACACCTGAGATTTGCAGATGTATTGGCAGACTCCTGATTCAAACCAACAGCTTGAACGAAAGTGAATAATGGTTTGAGTCAGATGTTATCGTTACGTCAATCTGTGGCCATTGGCTTATTTGTTGGTACATTGTAAAATCAGCAACAGAATACAAATAATAGGCTATTAACATTGTTTTCCCCTACTGTTTATTATTAAGCGTATACAAGTATGTATAGTGATATTGCAATTGTCAGATATGGGCAAAAATAACAGTACATATCCAATTAACCCAAAAAATAAAAAAGGTGCATTTTATGCTGCGTTTGACAAACAAGTGTCATATAGATTTACAGATATTGAGAGCACTTGTACTTTTTATGCAGTACTATTATAAAATGTAGTGTTTTTATTTCATCTAAATGCATTTATCTATTATTAGTTAATTAATGAATTTTATCACAATTTGTGATTCTTAAATATTGCAATCCTGAATCAGTTGTTGCCTGTGTGTTAGTACATTTGCTCAATAAAAAGTTTGCGTTACAGATAATGGTGAAACTAAACGAAAACCTACACTTAACTCTGAAAGAGTAGATAGTAGATTTACTTTAGTGCAGGGGCACCTTGTGACTTATGCAACTGCAACAGTTGACATTCAGGTCGGGAGCACAAAATGGGTTCAAACAAATGAGATGCCATTATTTGCATTTATAGTAGCTCAGTATAGCTAAGTAGATGTTAACAGTGTTATCTGTACTGGGGCAAGCGGCTCATTTGGGACTGCCATGGTGATTGCACATTTTGAAAAGCTCTTACTGTGATGGCAACACCAAAGAAGTCGAAGAGATTAAAAAAGGGGACGCAAAGAAACGTCAATTCTCGAGGTGTAGAGGGACCAGCTAGACCCGACTAGCTGAACAAACAGAAATAGTTAGATGGAAATACAAACAAAGCAGCAGTGCAGAGAGATGGGTTTATTCAGATGCAGAAAACCTCCATTGTTTTAGTTGCTGCCGTTTACATTACATTCAACAAAAGAGTGAACTACAGGAATGCACTCTCGTTTTTGTTTCGCTGTCTTGCGCAGCATAAATTAATACCACTGCATTGACTCTCACCTGGTAGTCTGGGTGAAACTCGCAGCAGTCCACGTTGTTGTAGTGCCCTCTGAGCATGGTGACCAGCTCTCCTGTGTGGAGGGCATACACAGCCACCGAGCTGCCGCAGGGCACAAACACAAACTCTGGGCTGCAACCACGGGAAACTGTAAACTGAAGCCTTTTACGGCTCTCGTTGCAGACCTTCCCGTAATTTACCTGAAGGACACAAAGAAGACACACAGGGTTCAGAACATGTATGTATGCCAGGATATACATTGTATTGAATATAAAATGTTTTTCTTTTATGAAACAGACAACATACTGACAATTTCTTGTATTGGCAATATGATATGTATCATGATCCAGAGGACATGATATTTTAAATATATTGCGATACTGTAATCAAAACGATTTATGGAACCACCTTTTTTACCTGGAAGTGTCATTGTATAAACATTATTCATATTGCCATGTGAATAAAATCGGTGTATATACATGTCATTTCTATAAAAAATGGTCACCATGTTTTTCCGAGTTCATACAGTATCACAAAACATAGTATCAGGATATTTCTGCATATCTATATCATACATCTCTATGTAACAATAATATGTCATGCCTTTCAAGCACTATACCAAAACAACCAGAGCTACATTCAGTGTTTGCCATCAAAACACTTGTATCCTTGAAGTCTAACAATTGTATTTCCTCAGCTATTTAAAAAAAAAAATAGTATGAATGTATTGTTTACATCCATCTAACTAACTTGCAGTCTTCTTCTTCACTGCCTTCGTTGGCACATTGCTGCATTAACATGGATGTAGATTTGTGGAACAGTGTGACAACCACTCAGGAAAAAAACACTTTTTACCAGAAGAACAGTACAGAAGAGAGGAAACCATCATTTTAAGGCTTCTGAAACTGAAACGTAGGGTATGCTGGACCAGATGCTTTCAATTTAGATAACATACTTTCAGACAACATAAGACTTTTCCAGGACTTGCAATGACCCTGAAATCTAGACGAACAGGAACAAGCAAGCAAATAAATTCACCTTCATGGTGTAGAATTACAAGGCTTTATTCATGCCGATGAAACAGGTCTGAATTATGCAATGCATTTCCTTTAACATTTTAGCATTTCAACATTAGCATTACCCCCTAAACTTACACCAGACATCCTCATTGCAACTCTTATCTCTGCCGGGAGAGAAGGTCAAACCCTTCCTTGTGTCTAGTCTTCTAGTGTTACAGCCCGAAGATGGAAACATGTCCACCATGGCAACCTCAGCATGAAGCAGCAGAGCAGAAAATTAGAACCGGAGCAATAGCATAACTTTCCTGAGCTTTAGGGTAAGGTCATGTTTGTAGGTTGTGGAGATGGAGCTAATATATTTTCCATTTATGTAGACCCAAGAATATCAAACACTGTTTCTCTAAGAGTAGCAGTAGCATCCTGTTTACTCAATCTGTGCAAAAAATGACAAACATTCATGCAATTTGTCAACCTCTCTCTGCTAAGGGTTTATGTTGCTTCTTTTCTTTTAAACTGGCCAAAAATAAAATTATACAAAGAGTCCTCGAGAACCCGCAAGAGCTGTATTGTGAACAAGGCTGTCCATTATGGTTAACAGTAGCTAAATCATGATGATGATAACTAAACTTGGATTCCAAGGTTTACATGCCAATACCAACAGAGAATATCAAACCGTTTTGAAAAGAAAGTTTTGCCATTCATAAGTATCCTCTGTGTCGTTGAAATTTGAATATAATCGTAAAAACGTGATATTTTAAACCAAAACCATGACTTTTTAAGGTCAAATAAGAGAAAAACGAATTTGCAGCTAATTTTGAGAGTATTCTTCAAAATTAAAAACATTTAAATGTAAGGTAAAATGTTGAGTAATGGATGACAAACAACTGCATAAATCATGTGTAGCACCCTAAACACTGGAACATGTGATATCCTTTAATCAATCAATGAATATCGATCAATATTATGGTTTTAAAATTGAATCGAATGACCCTATTGGAGAACGGTTGCCACAGTGCCAAATGCATTACATAAAACAACACCCAACAAGTTTTGCAACCTTATTGTTGAGAGTATGTTTGCACTTTGATTAGGCTGCGTAATCTGGCAACGATTGATGTCATTGATGTGCGTTGTTTGCTGCAAGGAAATGTGGGACAGCATTGGAGCACCACTCCTTATCATTTACAGATTTCAACCTGCTGCTTATGATGGCTGCCACTGAGATACCTCCAGGTTAATTCAGGTAAGTAACCTTCTTAGAAAAAAAACCATCCCATTCATAACGACTTTTAAACAAATGAGCGTGTGATAGCCCTGTCAGAGCTAACGTAATGCAGGGGGACAATAAAGGTCCATCTTATCTTATCAAAATAGCAAATCAGAAACCATGTTATGACAATAACAGAAATACAGTTACATGATGTCTGCTAAATAATCTTAATATTCCTATGTCTCTAAAGAACACCAACCAAGGGAAGGCATGTAGGCGGCACTAAAACAGGACCAACCATTATGCCATATGGAACTTTTCAGCTGCTGCCTTAGTTAAAACAAAGTTTTAAACTGAGACATAACCTTGATGTTATGCGAGTACATGATGAACAGTGCACTATAGTAAAAACAGGTTCCCCCAGGTATGTTATGAGGAGGAACATACACACACAGACAACTTACCAGGGTGTTTTCCCCAGTTGCACTATTCCATAGTCGCATACGGTCATCAGTTCCAGTGGTGAGGAGGTAGAGGCCATCGCCAGTGAAGCACAGGCCATTCACTCTGCCATTATGCGCCGTGTTCACTGATAAACACAAATGAAGCATGGCAACATGTATTTGTCATGTCTTTCATCCTCAATCTTTATCAAAAACCAATAGTAGATAATTATTTTATACAATTGATTATCAATAAATGGCATGCTTTTAGTGTAATGTTTGTTAAACATCTCTTGTCTCCTTATCACACAGAAAGGCTTAGATAAACTGTGCAAACTGGTTTTATGACATTGAATCCTTTGGTTAGAAACACAAACAGGGACTCAGGAAGGAAAACACATCCTGTAAGAATGTTGACATCTCATCCAGAGACAGACTCTGTTGTGTTAACCGGACTAACCTGAAAGTTAATAAAATAACAAGCTAGGACTTTAAGCGACTTTGAGACTATGAAAAGCGCCATATAAATTAAATGTATTATTATTATTAGATCTGTAAGATTGACTGATTATTTACTATAACCAGCCATTGAATGCATCGTCATCAGTTACCAGAAAATATGAATTCTGTGACTCGACATCAATGTTTGCCCCCGCAGTTTGTACTTCATGATGCTTTTTCCATCAGTGCAGCACATTGGGGTTCCTAAAAGGACTTTTTTGACAGTGTTTTGCAAATTGATATTGTTACGACAGGATTATAAATAAACACTTGGAAAGTAAGAAAAGGAGAGAGGTGACAGTACCTGCCTCAGAGGATGCTTTTGATTTGTCTCCATTGTGTTGGTCCAGAGTGAAGAGGCTACCAGAAGCCCGACGCACATCCCATACTTTCACTTTGCTGTCTGCACTTAGAAGGAAAATGAGGGAATTATTTTAGTTTTACACTCTCCTGGTTAATTATCCTTAAGTCCTGTTCATTCAATTAAAAAAAACATTTGATCAAGTCCGGCACAGGGATTAATACAGCTTCATGTTCACTAATGTTTGTTTTTAAAGGTCAGATTTCTGCTGGGAATTAACATTCTGCTCTATAATAGCATACACTTCTCTGTGCCAGTTGTTTTCAAAATCACTTAAAGTCCGCAGGGAAAGGCAGCACAGTAATCCCAATAGGTTAATTAGCATGTCCAATGTAGCATAGCACAGGTGGGGACTGTATCTACCATATGCTACGCTGAGAGGGCCACAGTGCCTGTCTGCTGGCGATGTGGTGGCATTATACTGGCCTCAGGGTTGCACTGTGGCCAGATGGGCAGAAACTAAGAAGACAGGAACCGCTGGGACACGGAATTGTGGGGATTTTTTCTGCTTCTGACACTTAATTTTGATCTGAGGGAGAACCAGGTGATGCTGATTCTCTACAGATGGACTGGCAGTTAACAGTGCCTACCTGGCAGTGGCTAAGATGTGATCGTATCGGGGCGACCACCGCACGGACAGGATCTCTGCTCTGTGGCCTGGAGGGAAACAGTTATTGTTTATGCGTGTGAAGAAAAACTATAACGGAAAATGATTACTGTTGTAGGTTAAACAAATTGTTAATAACAGAGGCGGCGAAGGGGGTTACATTCCAAGAAAAGCTCCATCATTTCCATGATTACAGTTTTTTGTAATTTTTTTATTTAAAAGAAAAAACTTGGATATTCTCTGAGATTAATAAAGTTATTTACAAGCTCCAATACAAAAAATATATTTGGCTCTAATACTCCATGCTTTCATTTATTGCCTCTAGCTCACATACCCTGAAGAACATGAATCCGTGAACCAGACTTCAGGTCACACAGCTGGATTTTAGGGTCTGTGGTGCCAACTGGAAAACAAAGAAACAAAAAGATGAAGTTAAAATAGGGAATTACAAGGCTGGCTGAAAGCTCCTTTAAATAGGTTAGGGTAGGACAGTAGTTCAAATCCTAAATTCCTTCTTGTCATCATTATCAAAGTGTACAGATCCTAGTACATGTGTAAGTATAATTTCCTACAACGTGTATGGGAGAGGCACTTCAAAAGAGTCAAATCGGAAGACCTAGGTTCTAAAAGAAAAGGTGTGGTAAACATGAAAAATCCCTGATAACAACACCTGATAAACGTGAGCCAACACACCCATTTATACATCAGAGGGGGGCAAGATATTGAGTAACATTCAAAAGAACAAGATGATTTGGAGTTCATCCAAATTGAAACAGCCAGCATTAAGAATAATGAATGTAGTGATTCTTTAGAGTAACAGATTCCTTTTGAAAACCAATGTTTGACAAGGATATGCAACACCCCTGAGAGTGGACGACACTGTGATTGTCCCAGGATTAGAAAAAGGTGTGTCAGAGAAACTGTGTGGGTATGGACATTTATGAGTACACACAATCAGCAGGCACGAGAAACCTGTTTGTCCAGTTGGGCAACGCGGTAAGGTGGCACAAAGATTATTATGATTTATTCCCCCTGAAATCTTTCACGCGTCTGTCGCCTCAAGGTACATAGCACATTGTAACCTGGGGTAACACTTGGGTACACAGTGCTGTATGGAAGCATGCAGTACACTGACTGGAGAAACAAACTGATTACAGGGTATCTGATGACAAAGAGCAGTTTGTTATTCCCCATAGAAAGCAGTGGTGGTTGAATTATGAAACACACCTGCAATGAGACTGTGCTTCCTGGCGATGGGGGAGAGGTGGTGGCTGTAGACATTGCCCTCAAACGCAAAGACTTCGGCAGGCTTAAGAATAACAAAGGGAAAGAAAGGGAGTACAGTTAGCTGTAGTCAGCTTCCTTTGAGTTCATTGCTAAGTAAACATTCGGAATACTGACTCTCTCTCCCCATTTTCAAATCACGTCTCAAAACATATCTCTACACACTTGCATATCCACCCTGATCACACGTGCTCTGTTTTTATTGATTACATTGTCTTGTTTTTGTGCTGTTTTGTGTACCTTTTACGGCGACCTTGAAAGCCTTGAAAGGCGCCTTTATAAATATATTAATAATATTATTATGGGTATGTATGCTTGCTGAATGATATCTTAATTTAATAATACAAATATACAGCCATGACCTTTAACACAAAGCCATTGCCTTAAAGATGTAAATCTTATATAAATTCCCGACATTGCGGAACAAAAGTTAATGGAAGGACTTAAATAAAAACAGAAGAGTAGAGAGAAGGGATACCATGGCTCAGAAGGCTCACCCGAGCAGCAGTGGCGGTTACAATGCAAATTCTTCAGCAAACATAAAAAGCCTCTCTGTGCCCCGTCTGTCAGTGAGTGCCAGCACCGACCAATGGGCACTCACACAGAGGAGGCTCTGTTTGCATCAAATACCACCAATACACATGGACTTTGTGCACAACAATGCAAAGCACACAATGTGCAAATACACAGCACAATAAATAATGTAATAGGCATAAGTGTGTGTGTTTATGTGGAACACAGAGACAGAAACACGTAGAGTTTAACTTAGTAAGCTAAACCAATGAATGGTCGTTGGCTCTTTGCTGTCCCTTCCCTGACCATTGAGGTAACCGCAGTGCCAGTGTAACTCTAGCGCAGCTCGGGCCTGCCATATGGGACTTTTGCATAGAAAGGTAGAAAGCATGAAGCAGAAAATTAGAAAGCGAGGGAAAGGGTGGTGGAGCTATAAGAATACAAATGTCAGCTAGTGGCGTGATAAACCACTTTGAAATGTGCATCAAGTAACCTGTTTGATGTTGATATCCACATGTATATACACGTTTATATGTTGATTCAGCTTAATTGCACCTAGGTTTATACAACACATGTAATAGGGAGTAACCTAGTCTGTGGGTGACAGTCTTACCTTCAGTGTCTCAGTGTCCCAGACCTTCATGGTCTTGTCAAAGGAACTCGAGACAAACATGCCCGTGTCATAAGGATACCACTGGACTGTCTCTACGCTGAATTTGTGGACATACCGACTCGACCTAGATAAAAAAGAAAAAAACATAACATGTGACCAGATTCATACTTATGTCTTTAATGATCTGCACCCCCCAGTTATGTTTGAAATATCAAATGAACAAATGGAGAATAGTGCACAACCACGTTAAACTTTCATGGAGCAACAGTAAATAAATTATGACATTATTGTTCATGGTGAGACCCACATTGTCACAAATTAGATTTCAGAGCCATGTATTGAAGTGAACCAAGAATTAGTATGATTTTTCTGTTCACATTACCATTAAAATGCAGTCATAGGAAACAAAAGATTGGGGAAGGCAGTGCTACCCTCTAGAGGACAGAATGAGTAAAGGCAAAAACACTCACCTGCCTACAGTGCAAACTGCCTTGCAGGTGTACTGTAGCTTCCTACTGTAGTTCTCCAGGTCATAGATGACAATCACACCATCTGCGCCGCCAGACAACATGCTAAACAACAGAGAGGGTTTACTTCACAGACTGCATTACTTCTTCCAACACAGCTGCCACATTGCTTTCCAAAGGTAAACCTGCAGTAGTTCTTAATGGAAGATTATCACAGAAAGGTGTTTGGATTAAGATTGTGTAGCTGAAAACTACATATCATATACCTCCATTTTACTGGGGTCTTATGACAAACTATGACAAAAGTGGACTTACTATCTGCCCTCTACTGCTTCAATGTCAATGGTGTTGATGCCGTTTCCATGGATTCTATCAACATCTCTGTCAGGATTCAACTTCAGACCCAGGACCCTTTGGAGATTAAGAAAGGAAGAAGAGTCAAGCATTTCTGGAAAACCAATCAAATGTTTAGCATCAAACCTTTGAGGCACAAGTGGATAAAAAGACAGAGCAAAGGAAATACACAATGTTGCAATCTAGAAATTGACAGAGTTGGTGTTAAAAAGTCAAATGGCCTTATGATTTTTTAAGTTATTAGAGTTTAACAAATGATCATTTACATTGCATTATTACATTGTAGTTAAATCAATACATATGTAGGGTGGAACTGAAAATGCTATTATCAAATAACATTTTATTTTTAATTTAGTCCACCTAATTCTTATATATGAATGCAGTTCTTTCACTTACCAAAACATAATAATAATGAGACAAAACAATGGGACTAATACCATTACTATTGTATTTTAACTCTTTCTGTTTTATTTTTATAACAGGTTTATATTATTGAATTTTACACATTTTTAATTTAATTGTTATGGCTTTTAATTCAGACAACGGTTACTAGTTTAATTTCCCATGATTTATTGCATTGTGATCGAAATCTGTTTTATTTTTGTAACTAGTTTTTATTTATGTTAATATCGTTGTTGTGTTTTTTTCTGCCACACAGAATACAAATAAAATAAAGTTATTATAAGACTAATCACTAAGACAATCAAAAGAAAATGAACTGTTGACAAGTTTTGATATTTGGATAATCACAGTTAGTTTTTGAGTCATTTACAAATATTAGCTAGTAAAATCTTTTCAATGCAAACAGCAAAAATATATCATAAAATGAGACTTTACAATCACATATATTGAGATTATAGGTTTATGAGCAATCTGAGTATGCATATAAATTAATGTGCCCCTTAAAGATCAGTATTTATTTTCCTTTCTGGTTCAAAATAAGAATACCTTTATTCGTCATTTACAAATAAAGTTATTAAAATGTACAATTGTTAAAGCAAAAGTAAACAGCGAAAAATATAAAATCATAAAATATAAAATATAAAAATATAAATTACACAAATTACAAAAATACTCATCCAGGTGGACTACAAAAATGACCAATAACAATATATTGTTTTAAATAAGTGTTGGATGTATGAAGCAGTTTGATAGCAGCCAAGTCACAGTAGTGAAATAGGAAGTATAGCCTATATATTGTTTATTTACAAATGTATTACAGTAGTTGCATTATCTAAAAAAGATAAAGCAGCCAGTAATAATATTTATAAAGCGGTATTTGTATTAAATTATATATTACACAACAGAGGTGTTCTAGTCTTTGTTGCTATATGTGTGCAGGGGACATTATTGTTTTCTCTCTCACCTCCGCGTTGACTCTGCACGCCTCAGTCGCAGAGGATCATCCACACCAGCCTGCCTGGCAGTAAGAAACCCCAACATTGCTATAATTTGAAGATGAAACTATATTAATAAAAGGACTAGTCTCCAACCTATCCTACCGTTAGCCAACCTAGCTCAAAGGCTAGCATGCTGACTACATTGAATTAAGTTTTCAATCGTAAACAAAAGGAAGCGCAAACAACAAGGCATGTTGTTGCACATAGAGCCTCTTAATAACTAAATACGTCGAAAGGCCACTTTGCTTCGATAATGTCTTGTTTATTTAACATAACATTTCTCTAACTTCCCAGCTGCTCAACACAATGAACCGCCATGTTGGAACGTAATGACAACATCCAATGACAAATGCGATGATTGGCTGTTCAATAATAAGCGTCCAATCACAAAACGGTTTATTCATTCTATTCCCAACATATGAAGTATTGTATAAACAACCCAGTGAGAGGACACACATCTAACAAGGGACACGAAATACTCAAAAACCTTCAAATTTTCCTGAAAATATGAACAGGGTCGCTGGAGTTTTACGGCGTACGTTTGGAATAGTACGCGAGCACGTCGGGACAGATCATGTGGGAAATACATATTACCATATCCCAGAACAGAAGACATGGACAGGTAAATATAATGTAACATGTCCTCTAAATCAAGCTTTGTTGTGCTTACTTTAGCCAGTAATTAATGTATTTACAGTATTGATCCCTACAGATATGCATGCTTTTTTAAAGCCTCGTCTAAACTTCAGTAAGCTTCTTCTGTCCCTGGCCCTGTTTGTTTATTCCATAACTAACTTAGCCTTTCTTAGCCTGATTGTTTTGATATCTAGTTAAGAATAATACATATTACATATTGATATTCCAGCAATGTATCTATTTGTATGCAATGTATTGCGCATTTGAGCATGTATGACTTTCCTTCTTCCCTTTGACCCCTGTAGTGTAAAAAGCTCGCCAGTAGATGGAGCAAATACCTCACCCAGAACATCTCATTGTATAAAATAGATTTAGTCTGTATTAAAATTGAGCAAGATTAACTTTTAACTCATTTTGGGGCCACAATAACTGCAGCTCCACTGTCATGGGCCCTCAAAGCAGAAAGGGTCCTCCTCATTCCCTTTTCAGTGTATTTTTGTTTTATTTGACAAATATGACCCCAAGTGACCCTTATTGCTTCTATCAATAATATACTCTCTCAAATCTTCAAATAATAGGAGCGGTAATTCCGCTGCCAAAAACATGGCAGTTCCACTGTCACTGGCCTTAAAAGCAGAAAGCATGTCCTCCACTGTTGCAGGGAAAATTATTTCTTGTCTGTTATGAGGTTTTAGAAAGAGGTCATATATCCCTACTGAGACATGGCAGTGCTACAGTTTGTCATGCTCAAGCCAAGCAGTAGAACTGTGTCATCATCAGGCTAATCCATGGTGGAATGCCAATGGTGTCCTTCACACCTTCTTGAAGGCCAAGGACACAGTTGTAGGCCTAGTGGACTCAACGTCTGGTCTTACCGTGAGTCATTCCTCAGTTGTCCTAACTTTAGGAGATGGAGAGAGATAGGCCATTTTTATGACAAGACTTAGCAATAGTAAAGAAGGTTAGATGGCATCAGGGGCATTTTTTAATTTTTGAGAAGCCCAGCACATCACCCTTGTGTTTTGCAAGATATTTACATGGAGGAGATGCCATCATAGCTGAGTGTCATTTTAAAATGAGACAATGAGAGGTTTACAACAAAAACACACTGAACATTGACATTATCTATGTGTCAATGTCAGATCCACACCTGCAGAGGAACTTGTTATGGGTGAAATATAGTGATGCACTATATCTGAATTGAGAATGCCTATTCTAGTTGAACTCATTAGCAGAATCACAGCTAATCCCACTTTCCCCTTCCCCTTTTGGTCCCTATAGAGGGTATTGGTCAAAGAGCCAACCTTCCAGACATTATACTGTTGTTGGTTAACCAGCCATGGACCTTTGACTTATTAGCGAAGTGATATTATGCATCGTGATATTCATGAGGAATCTTATGCCTGAGAATGAGTTCAGTTCCATTGCAGACACTGTCTTTTTTCTAATATGGGATACACACTACACAGCAGTAATCCCTCCTACCCATGTGTTTGTCTCCCTCTCTTGGTGCCACAGTATACAACTTCAATAACCCATGAGCTGAATAGGTATGTTACAGTGCAAACATTCAGTGATGCTTTTTCCGAGAGTGAAGCCAAGAGTTTTTTTGTTCAGTTTTGGACCGACGGTTGGCAGGTCCCAGGCCTGCTATCTTTCTGACTGAACTTGACTTTGTGGTTCACCTTTTCTCAGCAGTTTGCAGGGAAACGTGTGTGCACCTCATATTTATAATTCATTACAAGACTACTCCTCAACCCCTGGCTGTCAGACTATTTAAATGAGACATCACACAAGACCATTTTCTAGCACGCTACAGGCTACCATATTCACTGCCCAATCACAATGACTGACACTGTGGAGTGGCTGGATGGCCTGTGGAAAAAATGGTTTCTGAACAAACGCACTCAGAAATGCAAGGCAGGTGCATACACGTATACCCTCATATACGTTTATAATGCACAAATAAAAAGATATGGCACTCACATTTTCCTCTTTATTTCTACCACTCACCCAGTCCAGCCTTGTGGAAATAAAGCAGATGCATTATTCAGTCCATATGTCTTGCTAAAGCGGGTTCTTTTTGATCTTAAACTGATAGGCCAAGCGTGGGCTCTGGGCCTTAAGGCATGGACCGCAGGGCTTTCCACTGCAGCGCATAGTGGTTAAAGTAGGTGAGGAGACTCTCTCTCTATCTCTCTTTCCCTCTCAACTCTACCTAGTTCTTCTATTCATTTGTCCATCCCTAGTATTCAGGCAATCCCTCTCTACCTTTATCTATGCTTTGCTGCTCCCATTTTCTACCTCTCTCAATCTGTTAACTTTAGAAAACTGGGGCGTAAGCAATTTTGTGTGTGTGGTAGGCTATATATGAGGGTTTTAATGGCAGAAAAATAAAAGGAAGCCGCTGCTTTTTTACGTGACTGTGTCCTATCTAATCTCAACAACTGCCCATTCTTCTCCTTCGGGTGACCTCTTTATTTGCCTCTAGTTAGGCTTTCCTTCCGTTGCCCCTCCCTACCATTGCTGCCTCTCGATTTTCTTCCTTTGAAGACATTCTAGTGAAGATTTCTATTCACAACATTGGAGTAGTTCAGCAGTGTGGAGGGTTATACCCAGCAGAGTGCTTCATATCCCCCTCTCCTCAGATGCTGCTGCACATCAAAATGAAAAGGCCTGAGTCTGAAGTACACGCCTAGAGAGGGGGAATGTCTGTCCGTGTCTTTAGAAATGGTCTGGCTAAGAGGCCTACTGTGTGCTTCTTCCCCACAGAGAGAACTATGCTATAGGCTGTGGAGCCCCAGTGATTGTTGTCTATGGCAGGGCTACAAGATAAAGCCACTGGCAATCTGGCCACTGGTCTTTAGAGGGTCTTTGCCTTGGTGTTGGCTCTATAGAGCTGAATAGAGAATCTATATTCTTCTCTCTTTCTGTGTGCGTCTGTCCCCCAGGCCCAGCGCTGCCTCACACTGCATGGGGCACCATGTCATGCTGCCCAGATGAAAGCCCAGCATTCTGCGGATGGGCTCATTCGTCTTCAGCAGTGGGCCTGCAGCTTTGACGCCTGCCTTCCCTCCCTTTATTTAGGAAGAGAGGCGCACTGACATTATCGGCCGCTGCAGGCACATTTGAAAATAATTGCCTGTATGATTGCTATTTTTCTTACCTCTTTGAGGAGGTGTAGCCTTTGTCTTGGAATCAATGGCTGCTCAATACTGGACAGAGGAAAGGCAGTTTCCTTTCATGTCTTAGTAAAAAGGATGTATTTTTAGCACTATTCATTTTAGAAGTGTGTGCCATGCAGTTTTAATCTATTGGTCCTCTCCACTGTGTGGAGAATTGAAGGGATTCAGAGGTTCTTCCGAGGTGCGCCACGCTGTTGCAGAGAAAAGATGCATTGACTTGTCGTCCTATCACTATCCCTCTTTCTTTGTCTATTATTTATTTGATTCCCCAGCTATGTTCTATGAAGTGAAAAACTGAAAAGGCCTCAATTCTGCTATTTCAGGCTGGGTGACTCTGGGGACTGAGTTAGGAGGTGTGTGTGTTTTGATATCAGTTTGTGCATCTGTGGTTGTGTACATGTGTTGGCATAAAAACTACACACTGTGTGTATGTGCACATTAGTATCTGCTTTGTATTTTAAAAAGGGGAAGAAAAAAATTGCAAGTGTGTTTTCTCTCCACTTCATGCCCAAACACACTTAACACAACAACAGATGGCTGTGTGTCATCAGAGCGTTGATTCAAGCCGCATATTTCCATGGAAAGAGTCACAGCGGAGAGAGACGAGGGTCCAAATGGCTGTTTATTCTGCCACAAGTCATCCCCAGGGTGTGATGAAGGAAGGTCTATCATACAGTAGGACACCAAGTCAGTGTTTGCAATGGAGCAGCTATGTCCAGAGCAGCCACAGTAAATCATGTTAATTGATCAGCAGCTTTGCAATGCATGGGGTTTAAATGAAGGTTGTTTAATCGTTAACGAAACCACGTGGGTTTAGCTCATCTTGCTTTCCGTTTGCCAAGTGTGTGTTTGTGTTTGTACGTATGTGGTGGAACACCTTGGAGTGGTTTGACTGCTTCATTAAAAAGGCATTGGAAAAGATGGATGCTCACAATAAGAAACAGGCACATTTATTTCTTACGGTAGAGTATTACAAATGGGCCTAGCTCCAATATTGGTTGCAGGTCTATTAAACACTGCTTTAACAGTAGACCTGTATCTGTAAACATGTTTGATTCACTACCTACACATTTAACATGATGCGACGTGGTGAAAAACCCTAGGCAGTTGATGGTGCCAACAAATTAATTACAATAATTATAGGCGCTGATTCGCTGTCCAGTGCATTCGTGTGTCTTTCTCAAATGGCCAGTAAGGTGGCTAGTGGCTCCTTGTCGGTCAGAAACTCAGCCAAAAAGGCTGACAGACAGACCAACACAAAGCAGACATCTCCTGGAGCCCGCCGCTGCTTATTCAATCCTGAATATTTTAATAAAGCAGACAGGCAGAGAGAAATAAGGCTAGGAGTGAGGAAGGAAAGATAAGGCCGAAGGAGATTCACAGAGGGTGCAAAAGAAGGTGGGGTATGGAAAGTGAGTGACAAACAACAAGGGGGATGCTGACATATGGGGTGAAATTATATAGTGGGGGGAAGAATGGAGAGAGTGAAAGTAAAAGGAGGGTTTCTG